TCATTCGATCGAGATCGAATCTGAATTCATTAATCATCGCATTCGATCAAGCTATGGCGTTCGCCAAATCGTAAGTACAGGTTCGTAACTTGGGTATTTCTTTCCGAAATTTTCCAACACTTACTTTCTATCTCCCTTTAAGTCACATTGTTGTGAACATGGAGTTGGAGTTATGCACCCATTACTGATTAAATCTTATTTATTTTATGGACAAATTTTATTAAAAACACAACCCTCCTCTGCGCTTCTCATAGTGCGTACCTAATTAAAGCCACTTATGATGTATTCTCAAAAATGGACCTAATAATAATAAAAAAAAATCATCCCTCCTTCGCGCTTCTCATACGAATCTCCTAACCACAATTACTTTAGCCAAAAATATCATCTTGTCTGTCTGTTTTAAAAGGCTTTGAAACTACTGGACGATATTTTTATAGCAATCACGAATTAATTGGGTAAAGAAGCCGAAACACAAAACCTTGTTTTCAGACAAAAATAAAAATGCATAAGGACTGCGAAAATCGGTTGGCCAAATTTCTCAGAAGCAAAGCAACAAGACATCAAACAAAACGGGATACATGTAAAAAAAGGGTATACAAAATGGATTTCATTTTCGCCAGCCCAATATATATATATACATATATATATTTTTTTTTATAAATGACTAGTTCATACAAAAGAAAAAACAATATTGAATTCTAGGCGCAGACATTTTTAAGTGTACTTCGAAGACTTTGAAACCAGTTTTTAGCTCAAAACTATTTTGAACATATTTGGCGACACGAGATCTGTAAAGCGTATTCAAAACGTTTCCTTTACTTGCTCTCTGCCAACTGCTGGGCTCCCCGAAGTGGTTGAGAGCTTCAGTGTAAAGCATTTAAATATTGTTTAATAAAAGGAGAAGGTTTTGAGGCAACAAAAATGCCAAAAGCTACTGGTAAATAAATTAATTGAAATATTTTATAAAAGTAAGGGAAAGCATTAAGGAAAAAACACATTCTGATAAGTATTTAAAAACTAAGAAATTTTGTAATTTAAGAGGCAAATTTTCTTTTGTCTCAGCTATGGCAACAGTTGCCTTTTCTTTGTCAAAATTGTAGGATGGACTATTTAAGCCACTCAACTGGGACTGGACAAGAGTATGTGACCTTCAACGACCCAAATATTCGTACCATATACAAATATTTTAGATTTTCTTCTTTGCGCGAGGTTGGGTTGCTTGTTAACTAATTGTCTTTCTACATATTTGTTGGTCATTTTGTTTTCATCGCCGCTTCACGCTGGCATCGCAATGCGCCGAAATGATTTAGGAGTGCTTTCATTAATTACGTTTTAGCATACAGTTTAATGATGGAGGCTGTGATGCGGGATATGGTGGGCCTAGTGGGGGTACGGGGCGCTGGGTGCTGGGTGCTGGGCTCCTGAGAACCGCACCTGCCTCGAGCTGCTGAAACTTTAATAGACCGCATTTCAACATAATTAACACGCCAGGCGTTATGAATGATGCATGAAATATTGCGTCGGCAGTGGCTGCCCTCAGCATCCTGGCCTGTAAATCCACCATCCAGCACCCACCACCCACCACCCACCTGGCCTGACCCACTCAGCATGCCGCCAACACGCTAATAATTGCAAACGCTTAAATGTAAATTAAGCTTCAACTGCAAAAGCTTTATCCTCCTCCTGGCAGTCCTCCGAGTGGACCAACATGTTGGCAAGCGAAACGTTCAGATCAAATAAACACAGCCGAGCTCTGCATGGAGGAAGGCATCTAAGGCGCATGCAAGGATACAAGGATCCATCTCCGACTCACACGCACTATCACATACCAGAAAAAACCTTTGACACCAATGCAGGGATTTATTAGATTTTAATACTAAGAGTGAGTTTCGAGCCGATCATTCCTATTTCATTTATATGATATAGTAAACTTATTTAAATACAATTTTCGATTATTTTCGGGCTCCAAAAAACATAAATAAATACCAATTTTCGTTACTGTATCGTAATAAACAGATACGATGTCAGTATCAACATTATTTCTAACCTGATCGGCCCTATGACAGCTATATAATATAATGGACTGATGGTGATGAAACAGTAGAATATCGTAAGACATTATAAAAGAAAACTTATGAATACCAAAAATCTATCCTAAGAGTGATTGTTGCACCGGGCGGGGGAAAAGTTTTGCAATAATAAATCGACCGCACATTCATTATTATGACGCACTATTTCGCCTTAAAATGGAACTGAGTTGGATTTGTTGAATTCTTTGTTATATGATCACATATGCATACATTTTTATTTAAACGCATCGTGCATTATTTAAAAATTTTAATTTTTAAAATTGAAATCAAATATTTGTAGAAATCGTACGAGTTCGTGAGAGTTCCAAAAAATTCGTGATTTATCCAGTAATTTTTGTCATGCAAGTTTGTTTGGTAAATTGTTTGTTTTTTTGTATTTTTTTGATTATAAATAAATTATAAATGTAAAACAATTCAACATTATTAGTTCAATTATTTCAAAACAAAAGAAATACAGTATAATTTGTTTAGCTGCCTCTAAAGTCTCTCTAACTTTAATTTTTCAGTAAAATTTATATATTTCGCGGTTTGTTGGCAATATATGAAGTTGTATTTTCTTATTGGTTGTTATATACATAATGAATTTTCAATGCGGTTTCAGTAATTAAATTGATACTACATTTTTTAACATGCCTCAAATTGCATTGAAATAGTCTGTAATTTTTCCTCCAAAACCCAAAGATCAACAGCGACCAGTTGTTGTTTCAGCAATATGCGTCTGAACTCTAATTCAAATATATGTACATATGTGTATGTATGTATGTATATACTTTGTTGGGTCTGCCACGCCTACAATGCTCCATGCTTACTTCATAACCTTATATTTTTTAAGAGAATTCGTACGCTCTCTTGCTTTTCTGATTGATCTAACTGCGCCTCTCGACCACCCACACTCCAACTTGTTGGTCATGTTGTCTTCACACAACAGACTCAACACATTAATGTAAGCAAGTTAGCAATCTGTTATACAACACATTCGGCAAGGTCTGTAAATTGAGTTTTTTCTTTCTTTTTTTGTGCATCCGTTATGTTGTGGTGACATTTTGTCTGCTAATATACGTGCCACGTGAGTGAAACCAATTCACACGTGTACATACATACAAGTACTTGTACATGAAAAAAAAATCATTAATATAAATCGCTGCGTACTTACATTTACATACAGATTAAATGCGATGGCTTTAATTAAAAATTATATTCAAATTAAACACATTTACTTATTTAAATCACATTTATGAACACTTAAAAAAATAAAAACAAAAATTGAGCCACACATATACATAAGTATATGTATGTATGTACGCAGCACATCAATCGCGCGGTATTTTCGCATTAATAAACACATATTAAGAACACATCACACACAACTTAATATTTACATATGTATGTATGCTTTTACATAATATTTCTAACATTTATACAATTAATTAAACATTTTCTCAGAGTTTTCGGCAACTCAAAACAAAGGGCGCGACGCGTTCAACAGGCGGAGAAAAACTAAGCCTTGCATTGCAGCTGCAAGCAGAATGCTCTCTCATTAAGAATGTAAAAGTGAAGGCAAGCAATAAAAAATCATAACTGTAAATGCGCTCACGCGCCTGCCATACGCGTTTCGTTTCATGGTGTGAGACAATCTCACACGAAATTGTTGGTTGATCATTTGTAATTTTTCAAAATGCTTATATAAATCAACAAATTAATTAAATTTAAATTTTTAAAGGACCAAGCAAAATTTCAAGAGTTATGCGAGTTATGGAAAACCGCTAATTGCGTGGGAGAGGGGGGATGGAGGTAGTATAAAAAGTGGCTGCGCCATCTATGAAAGCATTCATAGAAAATGGCAAACATTTACTGCCGATATGAGGTGCTTCACTGTAAAAGGCTACTGAATAGGATGCACCAAACGTAATTATTTTCATGCGAAATCACATGTTAATCACAGCTATCTTGCAGATACAGCTAAGTATCGGTACAGGTAAGCAAATTATACGGTAGTTGGCTTTTTTAAATACTTCGAACAATAATGCCGTTTTTTTTAAAACAAGCCTGAACCGGTTAAGTGGTTTCTGTACGTGCTAATGCCGACTTTGTCGACTGCAGGGTCTGTGCACATGCTAGTTTCGACTTCGCCTATTTCGCTCTTCGAATGGAATGCGAAATGCATACATGTGCTAAAATTCAAATACGAATTTTTCGGATACGAACTTTTCGAGTTCATCGCAAACTTGGTTTTTTGGCAAAAATACTGCCAGCTTGTTAAATTTAAAACGAAATAGCCAATGAGCTGCCACTTATAGTGCATATAAATGAATAATTTTTTTTAATATGACAGCACTCGTCGCCATCAGCTTTTTAAATGGCAGTTTCGATTACTGATGACTAAAAAAGTATTTAAGTAAGCATGCACTTTAGTAATAAAGTGATATTTATTACACATTGATTGCAAACATTTTTAAAACTTCGCTGTTCATTAATAAGAGACGATTTCAATAGCTTAAGGGAAAAGGACGTTATGAATTCTGGGCAACCTTAAAACAAAGAACATAAACACAGCCGGCGACTGGAAAGTTACGGTATTCTTCCCGTTGAAAGAAATTCCAAAAGCCTAACAGTATTTTGCAAACAGAGTCAATGTAACTGGCAAATCTAACTTCTTATAAAAATGTATACCAAATAGTTAAAGCAACTGTCGATTTTTATAAAACTTGAAGTTCCATTAAAATGAAATCCGATAATTAAGATGTCACAACTCTAATTTGTAATCGAAATCGTAAAGTTTATGTATTCTGCACAATCAATTGTTTCAAATAAGTTTTTCAAACTTGTATTAGTTGCTCAACTAGCTTTTGCCAACGCTGCTGTGTGGCAACACTGATGCAACATTGCCTCGTCACGCATTACCCAACACTGCTTGTCGACTAATGGTTGTATGGCATCCATTTGTAACATTAAGAGAGGCAAGCATTTCGATTTGAAGACCATTTGCTGAAACAAAAAAACTAAAACAATCGATACAGCATGCGCAATTGCCGGCATTAGGGATAGTGGATAGCTGCCTGAATAAGGGATAGAGGACAGCAGCCGACAAATGGAAGCGACAGAGGAACAACTGATATTGGCCACCGGTGGCTATGACCACACAATAAAAGTGTGGCAAGCACACACCGGCAACTGCATAAAAACAATGCGTTTTGTGGACACATCGGTAAGAGAAGGAGCCAGAAAGACAATCCTATACTCGTACATAATATTCCTCTTCACGTTGTGCAGCAAGTTAATGCGCTGGATCGGACGCCGGATAAGACACGACTGGCCGCCTGTGGCTATCAGTGCATACGTCTTTATGATTTGGAGTCGAATAGCACGACACCGGTCATCAATTTCGATGGCGTGCAGAAGAATGTGACGCGTCTGGGGTTCCAGGAGGATGGCAACTGGATGTTCACCGCTGGCGAGGATCATCGCGTCCGTATATGGGATATGATATCGGCGCCACCGCACTGCTCGCGCGTCTTTGATTGTCAAGCGCCGGTGAATGCCGCCTGCCTGCATCCCAATCAGGTGGAAATCGCGATGGGCTCCCAAAATGGTGGCGTTTATCTGTGGGACGTGAAATCTGTGGCGCATGAGCAGCTCATACCCGAAATGGATGCCTCCATACAGGATGTGGCCATCTCGCCGGATGGACATTATATGGCGGCGGCTAATAACAAAGGCAATTGCTATATCTGGTCCCTCAACAGCAGTCCAAGTCAGCAGCTGAGCATATTGAAGCCCAAGATGAAGATATCGGCGCATAGTCGCTATATCCTCCGCTGCAAATTTAGTCCAGACTCCCGTCTATTGGTCACCACATCGGGCGATGGCACAGCGTGCCTTTGGAAAACCGAAGACTTCACCAAATGGCGCGAGTTGTCCGTTGAGAACTACTGGGTATGGGATGTGGCCTTCAGTGCTGACTCCAAATGGCTCTTCACCGCCTCCTCCGATGGTGTGGCTCGCCTTTGGAAGCTGCAGACAAAGAGCCCCGAGCGCAAGTACACAGGACATACCAAAGCCATAACAGCTCTGTCCTTCAAAGACGAGATCGTGGCCGATTAGCATAGAGAGTCAACAGTTTCATGGGTGGGCGTCCAGTGTGTTGTTTTTAGTATAAGAAATTGTGGAATTATTGTTTTTATATTGACTTGAGTGCTGAAAACTGTGAACACCGCTAAGCCTATAAAGGTTTTCCAAACTATTCCAACTATGTTTGTACAGAACACAATTCACCAAATGTTTTGGTCAGACAGACAACCAATTTGCATACAAATTCATGCCATTTTTCAAGTTACCACAAGAAAGCTTTATTGTTTTTTAGAGTATAATGGGACGACTTTGTCTGTCTGAACGAAGCTTAATGAATCAATAGTTTTTGTGAGCTCAAAGAGTTTTTCTGCAACTCTCCCTGCTCGGCAAACCAATAGAATAGCTCCAACTGTAATCTGAATTCGTACTGTTTAAAAGTTTGGAACATTTTTTTTTTGGGAATAGCGCACTTTTTTCCTTTCGTATAAGACCAATATAAAAACAAGACTTAGGCTACGGTCTGACATGCAAATCATCTGCACACAAATTTGTAAGTAAACCCCAAAGTTGTTTGTTGAAGAAAACTATACTTATAGAATTCTTTTGACAAATTTGTGTGCAAACTATTTGCGTATCTGAGCATATGTACTATTTCGTAGTCATAAGCTGTGAGCATCGTTTTTTTCGGCATTTTGGGAGGCAACTAGAACTCGGGATACGGACCGGATGCGAAGGGCAATATGGCAAGTCTGAAGACATATTCTCCAACTACCTCTCGGGTGAATGCGCTTAAGCTTTTGTAGCAAAACAATTTTGTCATCATTTGTAAATTTTTTATTACTAATATACATATAGTATACATATTTCAAATGCAATTGAATGAAAAACCTTAGAGGCGTACAATAAACATACAATGCATATAATTTATGTGATGATATTGTGGATCAGTATTGGGAATATAGAGATCCGCAGAAATCAATGATAAAACTAGGCTTTAAACACTTAATAGACAACTTTTAGTACGAATTTGGTTTCTAGGCGTGCGACAGAGATAGAAATCATTACGCGAAGCAGACAAGGACGGAGACAGAAGAACGCAACTGAACAAATGAAAGAGAAACAATAATAAAAAATGAAACCATTTGGATCCCCGGTGAAATTTCATAAATACTAGCTAAGCAGGAGGCCGGGAAAAATATAACTTGCGACCTTCTATTGCACGAACGGCAAGTCCTTCGCCACAATTGACTCTTTTATCGGATCCGGATCATCGCCCAGCCTGTAGCCCACAATGCAGGTGACGTCGACGGGCGCGCCCGTTGGATTCAAAAGTAACATCACTTGATTCACAGGCGTCGCAGGACGAAAAGGCTTGTGAGCTGGCATCCCATTATCCGTGGGCGGCAAAAGACGCACCTTGCAGGGCTGTAAAAGACATTCAAGGTACATTGGTGGTGGGTTAGGTTAGGTTGTCACGATAGCCAAGGGTATATCCCTGACTCACTGAGGCCTTGGTTTGGCCCGTTCCTCTTCACTTCCGGTAGTGATGTTCCGCGCAATGGTTTTCCATCCAGAGGCCTGAATGAATTTGGAAATATCCCTTGGCTTCTTTTTGGATAATATGCCAATAGGTTTGTGAGGAAGTTAGGTCATAAAAATCGCTGTCTAGTCCTTAATAAAACCAGGCGTTCTCAGAAGAGGTCGATCACTGATTCCACCTCCCTCTCATCCCGGCTGCTTCGACAGAAGTCGTTATCATTAAGTCTGGCGGCATGAGTGCCTACCAGACAGAGTGGAGGGAGGATGCCACCGTGAGGGGAACTACGGCTCACTTATCTGGACACCGTGGACGATATCAGTGTAGCTTTGATAGATCGCTTGTTCAAAAGCTGTCTAACAAGTTCTACGACGCCCGGATCCGTAAGTTAGCTTGTAAATGTGCTTGGGGACGCATTAATAAAGGTCTCCAGAAAGGCTACAAGGGTTTATGGTTCAATATTGAGAGATTTCTCAATAATCGAAATAGCAGCATGGAGTTCTGAGAGCGTGATAGCTGAGAGAGCGGGACTTTGCTTCAAATATAGCGACCTCCAGCGTCTTTAAAAGACGAGAGACTTATAGGCCGAAGATATGTTCGATCCTTCGATGCTTGCGCAGCAGGAAAGTGGCTGCACAGAAGCACCTCGAATGACCCTTCACTTGAGATTGTCCATGACTTATCTGACTTCTGAAGGTAACCTAGCATTGTGCTAGTTTTCGAAAGGGCCTTACGAAGCCTTGTGGCGTCGGAGGTGCCAGTGATATCCGGCAGAAGTTCTGCAATGGTATTAATACCATCCAAAACGCCGCAAATTTTAACAATTTCGAAGCCACGTCTAATTTTGTAAGTCTAATTTGAATGCATAAAGCTGTGGTCAGACAGGCAAATAATTTGCATATTGATTTGATTGATTACTGCCTATTAGAATTCAGATATATTATTATTATTATATTATTTTCTCCAACAGAACAGTTCTTTTTTTTGTCAAAATCTTTACAAATTTGCGCGTAAATTATTTGCATGTCCAGCGTAGCTTCAGAAATATACCTAAAAATTAGCAAATCTTTCAAAGTTCTAGATTTTTTCGACCGTCAACAAAACCACAAAAAAACAATAGGGGCCCGTAAATTAATCAAATTTAGTGCTAAACACGTATAATGTTGTTGGATAGCTTTGGGGATCAATTCAAAAGTAGGATAGATGGTTTTCGGTCGAGATATATTTCAGCATATAACTTTATAGGAACGAACTAAAACATTAGCTGAATGAGAGCGATGGCGAAATATTTAAGTTTTCATATGCCTAGTTTTTAAATAGCTTTAGGGACAAATATAATTTTGTTGGATAATAAGGATATTTATGCTTTTCTTTGATCATTAAGATCGGGCTAGTTCTTTGATTGGTAATATTGTTTCATAAAATCTTACACACACTCACCTTTTTGACGCTGGCCTCGAACTGAAAATCCTTGACTGGCTGGCGACTCTTATTCTGCGCCGATATCACTATAACAGTCACATTTTTGCTCGGCCTATCTTCGGTAAAGTTCAGACTCAATTGCATGTCATCATCGTCCAGGACAATGCGCGATTCAGACGTGGGAACAATGCTGTCCAAATCAATGTCTATCTCGCTGAGATGCTTGATAGTCATGGAAGGGGCTGGTGTGTTGCTGTGTTCGACTGCTGGCGGTTCTACTGTTTCTTGTTTATTGTTGGAAGTGCTAGTCTTTTCATCGGGCTTGGCACATAGCAGCGGCGCATCGTCCAATGTTTTGAAGATGCTGTGATCGCCACTGTCAGCAATAGGTAGTGTTGGCTGATCCGCCGGCTTCACATGCATGCGTTCCCGAGCCAAATCGTTTAGCGTTATTTTGTCTGCCTCTTTTTTAAAGGTGCTTATGCGCTCCTTTGCCTCCGGTAATATCTGCTGGAATAGCTCATCACTTAGCTTATCGATTTGAGGCATTTTACGCGCCACTCCCGGCTTATTTTGGCCATCATTGGCAATGCCATTGGAAAGAGAATCTCCGGCGCCGATGCTACTCAGAACTTGCGGCTCCAGCAGCTCACTATGCTGGAAGGGTTCCTGCTTCAGCTTGGACTCACTTTCGGCGAGAGCGCTGCTGAATATATCACTTAAATCGGCCAAAGCATCGGCACGCTCGTTTGTTTCAGTCGCTGTTGATGTTGACGATGGGCCGGCCATTTCTGTGCTGGGCGTGGAAGTCGTCTTGGCTGTTTCGCCATTGGTATTATTAAGCAGCAGATCTCCGAGCAGCTCGTTGAGCAGCAAGGTATTGTTGTTGGCCGCTGTCTCTGACGCAGATTTGTTAGGATTTGTCAAAGTTGATGATGCAGCTGAAGCTGCTGTTGTTGGTTGTTTTTTAGGTGATGGGACCACCTCCTTATAACGGGCAATGAGCTCATTCAGTGCCGTATTCGCCTCCAACGTATCGGCTGTAAAGGGGCTTCATTAGTGCTTTCCTAGCTCTAACTATTTGTACCAACTTACCCAATAGCTTCTCATCCGCATCGCCCAGCAGCTTCGGCAGATGCTGGAAGATAGGTCTATGCTTTTTACAGCTTCTGTACAGTTCGTTTATGGTCTCATGGACATCGCTATCGCTCGGATCGTAACTGTCTAGCATTTGGTTCAACAGCTGCATGGTGTTTTGCACTTCCTGTAGGACAGAGCGATGCTGCGCCAACAGATCGTTGCGTCGAGCCTCCTGCGCCATTCGATACTGCAGCAATAGATTGGCGCGCTTAAAGTTTTCCGGATCATTGCTCTTGATTAGTTTCGCAAACATCGCCTCATCCATAGTGCCGAGCACGCTCTCCCTTTTCCCCACTGCCGCTGCACTCTGGCCATGCTCGATGTCTTCGCCCTCCTTGCGCAGCATGTCGTAGGCATCACGGATTTTCTGGCGCTGTGGAAATTCTGTGGTCCACAGCAGCAAGCACTCCATAATCCGCTGCTTCACCCCATGCGGTGTCTCCGGGCCTTGGTATTTCTTTGACACAAGCCGTATAAGCTCATTGAGAAACCGAAACTTGGCCGCTTCATCCTGAAACTCGGGCCCGCATTGAGTCATGCATTCTTCCAGCAACTGCATGGGGTGTGGGAGGGGGTAGGGAACAAAGACAACCACATAAAAAATGTAACCTAATCTTAACGCGAAAGCAGTATCGTGATAAGTAAAATGGCAAACGCAACAACTCATAACATGGTGGTATGAGTGCGCCTACTTACATATGTTCATATGTATGTATGTATGTGTAAGACTGTTTTTTCTTTTTTTTTACTCACCGCAATTGCTCGCGTTGCTTCCGTTATGTTGCTGGAACGCACTTTGCTCACAATCATCTCTTGGGCCTTTTGCACTAGTTGCGCATTACTGCGCACTACAATGCAAAACATTTGCACCCCCAATTCGTCGACCGTGTCCTTTGCCGGATTCGTGGCCCGATCTGCAAATTGGAAAAAAAAAACAAACACCAAAAATATGCTACCTTCAAAAGTTACGCCGACGCAAGTGCTTGTTCTTACCCAGCATTTCTTCCATAATGCTCTCATCTGTTGTCATTTCTGTTAAAAAATTGCTGCTTATTCTGTTTAATTGATTATTGATTAGAGCACTGCTTAAAGTACATCGGCATTTATAAGTGAAGGAACAAATATGCGGCGATTTTTTTTTACAACCACCCACACCCAAACTATTTTATTTACATTGTCAACTGTTCTTCGTCGCATCTGACCACCTAGGTCATGCCAACTCGCTTGTATTGCGTAAACGCAGTGCTGCCTACTGCTGACAGACGAATATTTGCAGCACTGCGCAACGAATGCAGCCCTGCGGCGGAAGTTAAATTTTGTGATATTGCCGCACACTACCTGGACGTGTTCTTTTTCAGGCGTACGCCATTGCCGCTTACATCGTACACGATTTCTTCTGTGAAAAATGTAAGAAATTTTGTTGATTTTTTTTAGTGTAAAAACATAAGAGTGTGTGCAAATAACCAACAAGTGTCCTGGCTATCTAATGCCATTGAAATAATTGTGTAAATATTTGTGGAAATGCAAAAAAACACGGAAATTCTGCAGTTGGCTGCACACAATGAGGTTAAATACGCGCTGTCAACTTGTTTGTGTGCGTATTTGTGTGTGTGTGCTTCGTATTTCTTGCCTGTCCCCCACACGTGCTTGCGCGAAATTCAAGGCATCCTTCTTTTTTGTTTATTCTGTTTACGTCTAAAACTAAAACCGTATTGGTGAATCACACGCCGGTGCGGTATTCAATTAGACAAAATCAAAGCCCATGGTTTACTATTCCTCTAAAGCGTATCGCCTCGAAGATAAAGTCTTTATAAAGTGCAAAATCAACAACTTATAAACCATAATATTTTGTGTTCAAGTAAAAGAAATGTATGCTAAATTTGTTTAATTTGCTCGTTGCTTGCAGCATGGCCGAAGTTGCTGAAAACGTTGTTGAAAACTTCGAGGAGCCGGCGCCCTTGGAAACCGAGAGCGCTGAAACCGTACTCGAGACAAATGTGGTTGCCACAACGGAACTGCCCGAAATTAAGTTGTTCGGACGCTGGTCTTGTGACGATGTGACCGTCAACGACATCTCGCTGCAGGATTACATTTCGGTCAAGGAGAAGTTCGCACGTTATCTGCCCCACTCCGCCGGCCGTTATGCCGCCAAGCGCTTCCGCAAGGCACAATGCCCCATTGTCGAGCGTCTCACCTGCTCCCTGATGATGAAGGGTCGCAACAACGGCAAAAAACTGATGGCCTGCCGCATAGTCAAGCACTCGTTCGAGATCATTCATCTGCTCACTGGCGAGAATCCTCTGCAGGTGAGTTCCCCCTATTCTTCCCGGACTATTCCCCTGTTAACGTCGTGCCATGCTAAACTGTGTGCATTTTAAATGTCAACATGTACATCAGGTAGAATGAGCACGAAGAGTAAATGAGAATGTTTTGATGTCCTAGTGTTTGAAGCGCACAACAAGTGGTGTGCGAGTCTTCTTACCCTCCTGGTAATTAAAACTACATCATATATTCAAAGGACTTATTCTTCAGTCCTCCTCTAAGCTCTGCGGCCATTAAAAACCATGCCGTATGATGCCTTCAATAAAATGGACTGATATTAAATGAAGTTTTAACATCCCAGTGTTTGGAGAGTCCACAAATTGTGGAATTCACTTCTCACCCTCTTGGAAATTAAAACCACAGCTTCACATGGAAGCAATGATATATTTTCCATTCGAGAATATTTCAAAAGTAATTCCACGTGTTTTCTCTCATCATGTTTTGCAGATCTTGGTCAGTGCCATCATCAACTCTGGCCCACGTGAAGACTCCACACGTATTGGTCGTGCCGGTACCGTCCGTCGTCAGGCTGTGGATGTGTCGCCTCTGCGTCGCGTCAACCAGGCAAGTATTGACTCTCTTGTTTTCCCTCGACATCCCCGGCCGAGTGCAATGGCCAACAATTTCAGAAGATTGTTGACTTATAACAGCACGGCTATATCATAAATCTATCATATATCCGTAGCGTCATTGTGTTTAATCAACCAAACCTTGGCGTATGAATCGAAGAGACATTACGCTTGAACTTCATTCCCCCACAGTTAATTACTGAAACGGTAACGAATAATCCTAACATCCTTTTCTATTTATCCTAATCAGGCCATCTGGTTGCTATGCACGGGTGCCCGTGAGGCTGCCTTCAGAAACATCAAGACCATCGCCGAGTGCTTGGCCGATGAGCTCATCAACGCTGCTAAGGTGAGTTGCCATTTCACTTTTATTTAAATCAATGCAAACCCTATATTCGTCCACTCTAATTCTTCGTCATGTCATTAGGATATTGTCGTAGTCTCGCTTGTGGACCAGATTAATCTAATTTCTTTTATTATCCTTGTGCTTGTGGCAATTCCCAGCTCAGTGCACACGAGAAACGTAGAAGAACAGTCAAATATTTGTACTACTTACGAACTTAAAGGTTTATTCGTCCACTCTAATTCTTCGTCATGTCATTAGGATATTGTCGTAGTCTCGCTTGTGGACCAGATTAATCTAATTTCTTTTATTATCCTTGTGCTTGTGGCAATTCCCAGCTCAGTGCACACGAGAAACGTAGAAGAACAGTCAAATATTTGTACTACTTACGAACTTAAAGGTTTATTCGTCCACTCTAATTCTTCGTCATGTCATTAGGATATTGTCGTAGTCTCGCTTGTGGACCAGATTAATCTAATTTCTTTTATTATCCTTGTGCTTGTGGCAATTCCCAGCTCAGTGCACACGAGAAACGTAGAAGAACAGTCAAATATTTGTACTACTTATGAACTTAAAGGTTTATTCGTCCACTCTAATTCTTCGTCATGTCATTAGGATATTGCCGTAGTCTCGCTTGTGGACCAGATTAATCTAATTTCTTTTATTATCCTTGTGCTTGTGGCAATTCCCAGCTCAGTGCACACGAGAAACGTAGAAGAACAACTTAATTATAATTTTTACTTATGCTCGATACTAATAATTTCGAAACTTTCTAAATACTTCCCAGGGCTCTTCCAACTCGTACGCCATCAAGAAGAAGGATGAACTTGAGCGTGTGGCCAAGTCCAACCGTTAAGGAAAGAAAGCAAGAAAGATCATGCTGTGCGCAACAAATCCTTGTTTGTTATTTCAAGCGCGCAGGGATTCGCGTTTTTTTTTACAATTCTGTGTGTACCCAAAATGCTACACTAAATAATAAACGAAAAAATCCAACAAATAAAGTGTAAAAAATACAATTTAATAAGGACGATATGTTTGTTTTTTTTTTTTTTCTTAGTGATAATAAATATAAATATTTACTGTACGTGTTAACTAAAACACACTTCAATGTGACAAATGGTTTTTGCGTACCAGTGTACGGCTAAATCAACTGGGGCTGTTGATTGTGGACAAATATATATACATACATATATTAAATGATTTGCTTCAAGCGTTATTTTTGCAAATGCATGCGAATATATATTTCGAATTTCCCCATGTCAGGCACGCTGCTATCAATGTAGCCCTGGTAACAGCAGTGTTCCCCTATTTGTAGAGTTTTTCTTAACCGGTAGCTCGATGTACTACTGTGTACAAAAATAAATTTAATGCAATTGTATTGAACTTTGTTATTAAACTATGATTTCGAAAATTATGTTCAGCTGCAACTTGCACCAGAATAGACCAACTTTCTGCAATTGATAACAAATTGGCGGAGCCCACTGGTGTTGCCACATCTGAGCATTTATTTCCGCATTGTCATAATCAGCTGTTAGTACTGCCAATTTATAATGCAGCTCTGGGAACGGAAACTGGGTACCACGCTACTATTCACCATGCTATATTTTATTTCCGCCCGCTCAGCCGATTCTAACGCACGCTGTTTTCTTTCTCCGGCTGACAGTGTAAGTGTAAAGTATTGCATAGACTTATTACGATAAGTGGGCTACAGAAACATAATTGCCTGACAGTAATTAGAATGCTGCACAAATGTACGTACGTCCAAAACTAAAACCGCAACTGTGATCATTTTTCACGCGGCTGTGGTATTCAACTGGACTACATTAAAATCCATGATATACTATTCCTCTAAAGGATATCGGCTTGAAGATATGAACCTTTATAAAGTCAAAAATCAACAAGAGCAAATATGTACATATATACATATGTAGATGTCCACGTGCTCAATCGCAATAATTTATAAAATGACGAATGAATTGTGGGGAAGGGTTGAGGCAACATGTCTGCCGCATGTTTAAAATTTTCAATTCAACTAATTAATTTATTTATTATACAGCATGTCCAGTTTTAGCCTACCCTCAAGCGGAATGCTGCAGCCCTTATCAACGATGCCTCACAAAATAAGCTGATGTAAGATGTAAACTAAAAGTATAGTTAGCCCTAGGAGTACCGCCGTTTTTAGGCGGCAACATCCACTACGAAAATTCTGACATCAATGATGTTTGATATAAATGAAGAATCCGACGTGAAATAAATGGGGTAAGTGGTTTTCTCACGGACACAATTTTTATTTAGTCCTCCTCTAAGCTCTGCGGCCATAAATACTATGCCGTAAGGTGCCATTACATAAATGGACTGATATCAAATGATGTTTTAATATCCCTGTGTTTGAAGAGTCCATAAAAAGTGGAACGCACTTCTCACCCTCTTGGAAATTAAAACAACAGATTTTCTTTAATATTAGCTCTAAGAAAAGTTGTAATAGGATGTCTTACTTTTTTTTTCAGATTTTGAACCGATATGTCACACAGCATGTTGCGATTAGCTTTTCTTAGCGATTTCTGAGCTGTTTTACTACCGGCTAAATTAGCTACAACAGCATTCTGGCTGGCTTCACTTCCCAAAACAACAGAAAGAGCACGGGGAGCTGGAAGAGCCACAACGTGTCCACCGCTGATCTAAATAATCAAAATGCTCGCTCTTGCTGCAATTAATCTACGATCAACAATAGTTGCTTAAATAAAAAAAACAATTAACCGTGGAAAAAATTAGGTATGTTGTTTTCTAACTTCGGATCTCATTCAGTCCTCCTCTAAGCTCTGCGGCCAAAAATCTATGCCGTAAGGTGCCATTAAAAAAATGGACTGATATCAAATGGTGTTTTAATATCCCTGTGTTTGAAGAGTCCATAGATATGGCCCACTTCTCACCCTCTTGGAAATTAAAACTACATATTTTTCATTTAACAGCAACACAAGCTATAATATATTTCCTTTATTGCAGATTTGGACCAAGTTTGCAGAAAACGTACTCCCTGTGTGTGACAGTTCTTCTCCAATTAAGTTATCAGGTGTGATTTCAACTTAGTTTAAATACTTTAAGAGCCGAGTCCAGTCTAATACTGCGTCATGTCACTAGGATATTGCCGGAGTCTCGCTTTTGGACAAGAATAATTTAATTTCTTTTATTATCCTTGTGCTTGTACAAATCCAAGTTCAATGCACACGAGAAACGTAAAAGAACAATAGAATTTCACTTACAGATCTCGATTACTGCAATTTATTGTTCGAAATAACTAATTATGTGTTTTCGTTTTGCATTGCAGAGCTGGCGTGTCATCTGGACGAAGCAATATCTGAGGCAGTATAAACCAATACAGGCGTTTCTGACAAAATTGTAAGAGGCCTTCGTTGCGTTGGCGATAATTAACATTGCTATTTAGGATTAATTCTAAGTTAATATAATGTAAATAAATAAATACATACTTGAAAAAGATTTTGATGCTTGTTAACTATATTTTCAAAAATTGGTCGGAAATATGCTTATGAATCTATTTAGTTATGAAAATAGAAAAGGCTAGGTTCAAGTAATGTTATCCATTGAAATTGATGAAACGTCATATCGAAGACTTATTTTAAATACGTTATTTAACTCGTATTTTTCTCACCAGCATGAACTTAGTTATAAAAGAGTAAGCGTTGGAATAAAGTTTGAGTTTAATTTATTGTGAACCATTCATTCATTTAAATTTCGTAATATTTTTGAATTCATTTCTCGTGTGAGGTAATTGCAACGGTTTAAAATTTAACTGCCGCGGCCTGTTACTATCCAGCACTGTTTGTGGTGAGTTTAAAGCAACTCTGGACTGTCCAGTGCTGCCATTTAATTGGCGTTAAGGTCCTACTTGCAAGAGCTGCGCGAATTCCTTCTTTGTGAGTTTTGGCTTCGACCTGGTTGGGTCTACGTTCGCGCGCATTGGATTTCGTTTGCGTGAACCACCGTTTTAAAAGTTGTTTTTTTTTTTCAAAACAACGCTGGATTTTGAAACGTAAAATGTTTCATTTGGATACTGTGAATGCAGTAAACCGCGAAACTGAAGTTAATCCAAGTAATAACGTAAATATTTTTTCGCAACGTCAGCAGAGCCAGTAAGTACAAAAAAAAAATATATATTTTGAATATTTTGCGCACAATTGTGGAATTCACACATACTACACACAATGTTTTTCTCTGGATTTCCTATACACACAAACGTCCATACCCACATATGTATGTATGTACATGCGTATAACGTAGATATCACGAGCAAAAATTAGTTGAGCAATTTTGCCGTGCCACACACTTAATAAAAATCATCGAAGGCGCTGCAGAAGCATTCGTTCGCAATTACAACAAATCCCGTCGGTCCGAGGACGCGCTTGCGCCAATTATATTACGCTTGGACTTTACGTACACCGATTTGGTGACGCATGCGCGCGATTTGCTGGAATTGGCCATCGAAGAGCCCCTCCAATTTGCCGAGGCAATAAAATATTGCGCATACGGCCTGGTGCGTGCGCACATCAAAGCTGTTGCTAACGAGCCGCCTGCTTTGAAAACCCCAACCATTGATATTGCGCAATTGCACGCTCAGTGGAGAATCCTGGGGTTGCCGGTCCAGCGTAATCTGCAGTTCGATCCATCACAGCATTTGTATCGCCTTGGTCTGGCCTTGGTGCACGGCATTTTGTCTGCGTTTTCCGCTACGGAGACATTGGTGTAAGTTCGTGTCGCCATTATGTGCGGTACCATCGAAGAGACATTCCTGCTATCTCTTTCTTCTTTTATTTTGTTTGATTTTTCCTCCACACAGCCTGCAATCAATTTGGTACTGCGGCAGCGGTTGCATGCGCAATGCCATACAAACAACATCCACGGATGGTATGCATTTAGGTTTAAGATATTTATATAGCTTATGAAATCGGTGTTGGTAGCATGTATGTATGTATATTTTAACCTTTTTTTTACATCTACACAATCCACAAAGGAAAAAAATAATAGGTTCAGCTCCATATGTATTAGTATTATTAACTCGAAAACTAAAAAAATAACGGTGCAACTCACACAGCACGCATTTATATGTACATATGTATGTACATATACATACATATGTTTTCATGCAGGCCACACACACATACTTATGCACATTTAAATTTGATATTGTAGGTATTTAAGTGAAGTGGTTAGAAGAGTACAACTAGATATACACCTGAAATTAGATTTTGCTTAACTTGTCCTATTTAGACTTTCCTGCAAAAAAAAAAGACGAAAATCAGCGTAGTTTGCAAATAATTTTCAACATGTTAAAAACAAAATAATTGGATAAAATCGCTAGGTGAAAATCTATATTAGACAAAAATCAGTGTAACGTGCTGTTAAAAAAATTTAAACGGCATTTCCTCAAGCAACGTGAAAAAAAAGTTATTGAGGATTGAAGGTACTAGCTAGAAATAATAAATATTTTTATTTTTACAATTTTGAAACAAATTTGAATAATTAAAATGACTGTAGTAAGTGGTTATATACGTACCTGTGGATAAAAACAAACTTGAATCTGCTTACATTTTTAATTTAAATTGTTTTAATTTCGTAATTTTTGGAGTATTTTTTTATATTAGAACTATTTTTCATTTAATATTGTACCATAGCATTTTATGTAACAAATTAACAATTCTATCCTCAACTCGAATAAATCTCATCTAATCTGTGTTTCCTGCTGATCTCCATGTAGCGCCATCCTGCAGTAATTGCAGTCGACCTATGACCGAATATTCAAAACTTCGGGTAACTGAAAACTATCGCTTTATTGCCATATTGCCGAAGGCTTGTGTTCAGACACCGAGAGTTTTAAACCAGACATTTCGACCGATTCTCGTGCGTCTTAGAGGTATGCATATATGAATGAACGTTGACTGCTAAAAATAAACTTTCACATTATGTATTAAAATCCTTTTCAGACTTCACATACAACTGCGCCTTGAAGCTAGGTGCGTGTTATCTTATTACAGGATATTTTAGTTCTTCGCCAGCGTGCTTCGAGTCATGCACGCTGGACGAAGCATAGACCGGAGGGCGGGGGGCCCACGTCGTCGAAGAGCTGTCGTGCATCTAAATGATTTTTTGCGTGATGATGCACCTCCCAACTTGAATGATGCTGCCGCTAATCAAGGATCTCAAACCGCACCACCCATGTCTCCAGCCAAATCACAAGCTTCGGGAGCTGCTATGCAAGGAGTTCCTCCCTTATTGAATGCATCACCTCGTTCAGTCGGACGAGTACTCACTCCGGTCCCTCCATCGTCGCCACCTAACGTTTGGCGCACCGAAGACGAGCCGGCAGCCGAAGCCTATTTGCCTGATGAAACCGAATTCCCAGTAATGGGCGGAGTACGCTTTAAAAAGGCCAAGCAATCGCATTCAATGAAGGAGCAGCCAGAACAAACATCTCCTGCGGGATCTGGTGAACAGTCAAAGAAACGTAATCGCCGCATTACAACACCCGTTCTGGGAAACTTTCTTAAATTGCCATCGCCAACACCAGCACCTTCACAGAAGGGACAGCAGGCTGTGCAAAAAATACAACAGATTTTACAACCAAAAGAAATTACTCCAAAACCGGAACCGCCGATTCCAGTTCCGGAGAAGCCGGTGGTATTGGATAAGCAACAGATTGTCGAGAAATGGGAAAAGTGGGTGCGTGAGAGCTCGCATGCCATGTCGGTCGAAATTGGCAAATCGGACGCAGATGAGCCGGCTCCGCAGAAACCTAAGCCAACGGATAGCAAAGCTGCACGTATCCCAGCGAAAACTGACATTTTGACAGTTCCGGATAACGCATCCACTATGTCTCAGAAGGTGGTAAACAAAAATCAGGCCAATAAGTCAACCTCAACCGCAACAAAGTCACCTGATAAGCATTCCGAAGAGCTGTCGGCAAGCATAACAGTTCCGCAGCAAAAATACAGTTCCCCATCCCCAGGGCATAGGGTTGAACCAATTGAGCAATCAAAGCCTCAGTTAAAAGAGGGTATTTGTGATCGCGAACCATTAAAATGCAATCAGTTCCAAGGCACTTCTGGCACAAATGACAGAATGCCAAAATCCGGAACATTCGTACAAGATATGGCAAATGAGGCGAAGTCGTCGACTCCAGCTCCACAGTCCTCCCCTCAGAGAGACGCTGATAACCAACCGTCGACTTCAGCAGCGGCTCGCGAAAAGTTAAGAGTTTCCCAGCAACAGTTGAGCTGGACTTCCCGTCGCAACCAGCGAAAATCTCTTAGCCCCCGACCTCCTGTACAGGTACGATAGCTAATTTTAAGAAGTACCACTAACACTTGCGATCGAATTACCTATTGGGTCTCCTTTGCTTGAAGGCTGCTCAAAACTTTAATGGACTAGTTGCTAACAAGATTTGAGTTTGATTCTTGTTCATATCAATCATATATAAACCTATATTATTTTCTTTCACAGCACGCATACAACAAAGATCAGCCACACGTCAAGAAAGATCGCCCATTCAATGTGTATTCTCAGGGAGTGCCTACGAATGTGGGTGCGGTGCCTCGTCAAGTGTCGGCTAGTGTGCCAGAGCCAATAACTGGTGGACGCACCTATGCTGAACTGATGCGCGAACGACAAAAGAGATCTCCGAAGAACTTTCCGTCACACACAAGTGGACGGATGAGAGAGAGCGGTGGGATGTCAACTATCCGGCCGACTGCCATAATGTACCAAATGCCGTCGAATCCGCGTTTAACGATTAATCCGATGATGCGACAGCAAGTAACAATGCCGCCCATTATGTTGCAACCAAGGGAGCAGAATCGGCGTCAGCCCCTGAATCAGGGCTCTGGAGACAGACCTCAGAGTGCGCAATCCATTCATTATCGCGAAACCTTACCGTACGAACAACAGCTGCAAGGTGAAGGGGATGTGGTTGATGTGAACTCACAACTGTATCAAACCCGGCGTAAGAAGAAATGGCGACGCCACAGTTATGAAGGCAATGATTTGATGTGGCAGCGGAGTCCACCACAATATTGCCAGGGACGACCGCAAGCCAGACTCCGCCTCAATTCGACCAGTGGTGACCCAGAAAATCGAACAGACGCATCGTTTGTTCATGAAGTGTACGCGCCTCTGCAGACTGCTAATACGGGCAGCATGATGATGTCCTTTGACAATCACACAATGGCTGAAACAGCACAAGAGCAACACAATACAACGCAGTGGGACGGGTTGGATCAATCGCAAGAACAAGCTGATGCAGATGAAGGGCCGGTATCGTCCATCGAAGCGTTGGCTATGAACAGCACCCTTAATCAGAATGCTACCCCATTCCGTCCAATGTTTCGCCGAGCTATCGACTTTCGTTTGGCGCGTACCAATATTGGTCAAGGAACTGTGCCAGCAACTGCGCCAGGCTTGGGACGTATCAGTCTGATTAGTGTAAGTATATCGCATTCAAATTAAACTTATATACCACTCGGAATAATTCTTTTTATTAAAATCCTCTTTTCAAAGCAACAGTTAGCCATTTACGTCCATGCCTTTAACAAATTTTGAGATTTTAATGCATTTTATTAAGAATCGTTTATGTTTCTTGATTGATTCTTGAAAATATAAACATTTAGCAATATAATATTAGACAGTTGATTTAAGAAATTGTTGTAGATATATTGAAAAAAATTGGTTATGTTATACAATAAAAGGAGAAAAGCGTGACAGCTCAAGTTGAGAAAGTTTTAAGTCCCCCTATAGTTGTTGTTAAATGTTTCCCAACACATTTTAGAGCTTGTAGGTTGAAATTGTATTTTCTTAATTTTTAGAGAGCCGACTACAAATTCTTCTCTTGCCGAGCCAATAAGAAATTTATTTTAATACGCTTTTAACCTTTTATACAACAGTCTCAAATCTATTACATTCTTTTTAATATCTCTTTCATTTCTGCTAAATAGGCACGCCGACGAAGGCAACGCATACGAAGAAAGCTGCGACCTGATGATTTGAATGAGATGCCTTCAATGTTTGGAGAGCAACTGGATTTCCAAGCACCGTCGCAACAGCAACAGTTCCAATATCAGCCGCCAGTTCAGGCTCAACAGCAGATTTCGAAGCGGAAGGCAAAAATGCTACGTCGGCAACAGAATTTGGCACTGCAGCAGCATCAGGGCCTGCTTCCGACACCGGACATGCCACCTTCCTATGGATACGAAGCAGCACTACAAGCAGCTCCGGTTGTGCATTGTACGGACGCAGTTGCTCCGACCTATTATCAGGCATATGATCCCAACAGCTATCAATGGGCGGCGGCCACTGCACCGCCAATAATCGCAACACCCATTTATATCGATGCAAGCCAACTGACCCAAGTGGCGCCAATAACTTTTGCTACTCCAATACAGTTGCAGGAAGGGCAAGTGACTGCAGCGGCGGCTGCAACAGAAAATAATGTTGTTGGCCAGTCGGTTTTTTGCTTGCCCAGCCTCAACAGTGGGCCGATCAGCCCTATATCAACTATTTCTGCCCCATGCGACTTAACGGGTCTGATCCATCCAACAACATCGCCGCCCAGTCCTCAGATCAGCGATTTACTGCCAGAATCGAGCAGCAGCCCCAGTACAGCCTCGAACCAGATGGACAGCAGCAAGTGGACACAGAATACGCTGGATATGTGGACACCAGTGGATCGAATGTCGCCTTCGGCGCCGACACACCAGTCGCTGCTGGACATGGATCTATCCCAAGTGTCTTCCTATCTGGATACGGACCCAATGTTATTCAGCTACAGCCAGCGCATGGAAGAGGACGGGGAAGCTCAGGTTTCAGCGGTTAGCGATACAGTCGATGCATACACTGTTTTGGGCCCCAATAATGCGACGACCCCACCAATTATTGAACAGAATATTCGCCCACGGCACGAACTATTTGTTACTAATGCCCAAAAGAAGTTGCCTGCCGGCAATTTCGATTTGAACCTAGTGCCACCGAGCATTAAGAGGCTCTATCGCTTAATTTGTACAAATTACTCCGATTACTCGTTTCTGTACGCGCTAAGTGCACAAATCTGTCAGGATTGCGTTCCAATGGAATGCTTCGTTTATGTCAAAATGGCATTACTTGCAAGCCTCAATTCATTCGAGGTAAGTGGTTCCCCTCTTTATTGCTCCTATTCCCATCATACTTTCTTCATATCTTGATTTTTTTTTTTGCAGCCCGGCGAGTTGCGCGCTCCCATTTCTTTGTGGGTGATCGCCAACGACAGCCATTTGGCGAACAATTTGCTTCACAATGTTGGGCAACTAGCACCGCGATTTATTGGCCCCCATGAGGGTGGCCAACAACAACAGCCGTCGGCTTTACCGAGCCGCTACACTTGGCACACTGCTTGCCCTCTGGTAATGGCTCAACAGGGCGTATATTATATTGGCGACTGGAATCGTCTGCAGCGCGAACAATGCGAGGAACTGGAGAAGTGCATAGAAAATGGTGCCGTGCCGCAGCCGACTCTGCAAGCTGAGCAGCCACTGGAGGCGTCCATCTGGATGTACTGGCAGCCCGATGTTTCAACCAAACAGACCGAAGCTCTGGCCAAATTCTGCCCGTAAGTAGAATGCAATGCTAAGATTTAGAAATGGAGCAGTTATGGAATTGTTCAAAATCAAATTGTTTGTCCATTGGTGTAACCATTAAGCCCGTTTCTGTTCCCAAAATCCATTTATAATCTCTAGGCATCTATTAATTACTTTTTTCTTAAACGTAACTTGTTAAAAGCACATATATGTTCACCATAGTGATACGAATTAATATAGACAGAGTGCCCGAATCTAAACTCATAGTTATTTGCGAACATTTTGGTTCCCCATTGAGTTTAATTCCCCATTAATTGTTGATATCAAATAGAATAAGTATTGTAATGAATCCCTGTCAGTTACACGATCTGATTACTTTTTAAACACAAGCAAATTTTACATGATTTGGATACGAATTAATATAGACAGCGTGCGCGAATCTAAAATCATATTCATTGAAAACGTTTTGGTTCCCCACTGAGTTCAGTTCCCCATTGATTGTTGATATCATATTGAATTTTAATGAACCCCTGTCAGTTACACGATCTGATTACATTTTAAACACAAGCAAATTTTACTTGATTTGGATTTTCCCTAGACTGTTTGGCTTACCAATTTACATGGATGTCGAGGAAGGTGATAGCTTGTGGGACTTAATGCTGCGACAGCACAGCTGCGATGCATACGAACTGCCACTGGACGAATTCCATATTCCTAGCGAGGACATGCGCAGTCTGTTCGTCTTGCTGCATCAGCGCAAGGTTGTGTTCACGACTGAAGCGGAGCGCCTGCTTCAAAAATATTATGTTATCTCTCGCGTTCAGCACCCAAGTGAGTTTCTAACTTCATTATTCCTTTACGAGAGTTTGTTTTTACTTACTTTGTGCCTTCCACAGCCATTTTCAGCAGCAAAACTTTTGTGGTGCTAAAACAATTTGCCGAATCTTTTGCCAAACTCTCGCTGCGCCTGCAGGTTCTGGAGACAGATGTTATTGTCAGTATATTCCTGTGCGAGAACTTTGTGCAGCGCGTCTTTGGTCCGAGCGACAATGCGCCATCGTTTGCTGCAGCTTTCAACGTCATATCGAAAATTGATCCTTACATGAATGAGTTTACGCGCTGGTTGCTCGCATATTTGGATTGCAACGGCAATGATGAGGACGATGATGGCAAATTGCCAGCAAAACGCGCTCGCGTTTTCACTCTCGACCTAATATAAAATTTACATTCCTAGAGGCCTTAAACGCTTTATATTTTTAAGAGCTTCGGGTAATATTTGAATTCACGGTTGTGATACAGATATGCCATGCACATACAAACTCAAAACGTTCCTTTTAAATATTAAACAATCTTGGGCACTTTCACCAAAATTTTTCGGAATCAAACAAAATATGCTGAACAATCACAAATCAATATGAATCGAGTTAACGATCTAACTAATAAATGTTAACGAAATCAGCATTCTTAATAGTTTTAAATGATTGATTTACTTTTCACGCATATACAAATTTAATAGTCTGTTCAATCATTAATCTTAAAGGTGAACTTTAGTCGTCCATTGTTTAAAACACAAAACATGTTATATCAAAACGACAAACTGTGAACATCAATTTAATTGTAAGCCAGTCTATAACTACATAAATAATTAAATTATTCCCGTTGCGTCGGCGCCAAAAGCACACTCTGTGGGCTGTGTCTAGTTATGAAACTTAATTTGTTATAGACACTCGATAATACTACCTCAGACATCTTCAAACAGGGAGCAACTTAAAATAAGTTAGATGTAGAAAATCTACACCAAATATGCAAAGCAGGAGGAGGAGCTATACTAATCTAAAATGTTTTTAAACCACCTAAAGGAAAATTGCTGGATTGCCAGAAAACGAATATGATGCTGTTTTCACAATCTATTACAAGTGGGTGCAAATCCAGTCCAGTTATTTAATGAAAAATGATGATTTTTGAATCAAATAAATATGCATTTATTTATAATTTTTTTTTACTTTTTGGAATTAAAACATTAATTTTTTTAAATTGATTTTTCATACTCATTTGTTATATAAAAAACGATCACTGCCTTGCAACAAAAAAAGGAAGAAAACAACTGAAAAAAGACATTTAAACTATTACTAAAAACCCACATATTTAGGAAAAGGTTGTGTCATTTTGAACTTTATATAATACAGACGTGATATAAATAAAAGTTGTATTTGATATTAAAAAAAAAAACATACAAAAATGTGTTTTCATTTTAAGACTGTATATTATTAAACAGGATATTTCGATATAAAATCTATTGAAATATGAAAATAAGAAGATGAAAAGTACATGTCCGGAACGAGTACTCTTAAGATTCGTAACTCTCATAACATCACTTCTTGTACATATTCAAGGGTTTGTTGGACTAAATGATTTTTCTTTCTCTCTTGGCATCATTTATATGCACATCTGAAAGACTTATATAGAAGCAGGAGTGAAGAAAATATGTTTCACAATTTAGAGCTCACTTATCCCGAATTCCCAATAAAAATAATCAAACTATAGATATGTATACGATTCGTTTATACAGGTAGATGATAAGTACATATAAAAACGAAGTTGATTTGCTAAATTTGCCAAATCTGAGCATTTCTTACAACTAATTTATATATTCATTAGACATTAATTACATTTGTTAAACATAGGTATATAGTTAGTTGATCGTTCCTTTCATTTTCTCTCCCTTTTTTGATTATCCATTTCGATCGCCTGAGCAAATATTTAAGTAGTGGAAAAACTGATGGTGGCTCAGTTATATTTTTGTTTGTTTACAGTTTATAGTCTGTTGTTAGTGGTAGTACTTATATCGGTAAACGATAACATGCTATATTCTCGTATTAAAATACATATTTAAATTCATATATAAACAACTTCTTACACATACAACGTACTCCAAAGTCATGAGCTATATAGTGATACATATATTTATTAAATTTGCTGCCAATGTGTGGTGCTTGCAAATGGCCACGCTTTAGTTGTATATGGTTTGTATCGTACAAATATATATCATATATATGTATTAAAAAAAAACCTTAACAGCTATATGACAAAAATTAAAAGCATAAAACTACATTGTTGACTTTGGTCCAGTACTGAAATCTCGGATTTCTTTAGTTGCCAAAAACAAAAAGAAGATTGGTTTGCTTTCTTGTTAGCACATCCATATAAATACGAATATAGATATACATATATAGAGATATACGTATGTATGTAACTTATGTACATAAACCTCATAGGAAATACATATATATATATATATATATATATATATATATATATATATATAGTATGTATGTATGTAGTGCTTAGTAGTTCTGCTGCCGTCGCTTACTTCACTAATTTACAATCAGTTACATCAGTTGAGCTTTCTAGAAATTACATTCAATTTATATTGAGCGTGTTGTGTGTCGGTGTGTGTATGCTTTAATAATCCAAATTTCCTTGGGCCCCAGTTATAATCGCATCTATCCAAATGCGAGCCGCTGCATCCGAGGCCGCCTGCAAGTTATAGCTGCGCTTCTTTGTCTTCACAATGAATGTGCAGTGAGGCCGACCGCTCTTCGAGGCATTCAAATGGTCCAAATAGACTTCATCGATTGTCTGAAATATTGAAATTTGGTTCGCAAATAAGTAAATATGCAGTTAAGAATCGTCTTAAAGTTATTTTCAAATTTTTTTCAAAGTTCGAGGCGAAAATGTGGTAAATGTGGGCAAAATTCAGCCCGCAAACGGGGTACAATATCCCAAAAGAACATATTGTGATTACTTTTATTCAAGTAACTCTTTGAGAAAGGATAGAAAACAAACTGCATTCACTGTTATCTGTTATTAATAGTAGATCTACATGGTTTTCTTTTGGATTTGGAAAAATAAAATTCTACAGCGCCACCAAAGCTTGTTTGGAAAAATAAATAGGTTTTATCCGATTATCCGATTATAGTAGCACAATCGAGCTGGTAAACAGCACTAAATAATGCCGTATTTTTAAATACTTTTGAGGGTCTAGACTCTAGAGTACAAGATCAAGTTCGGAAATACCTGTTAGGGCTGAAGAAGCATGGAAAAATATTCCTTTCAAAATATTTTTGAGTCTTATCATTTAGTTGAAAAAAAGATTTATTTTTTGTGAACTTCAATTAATCAATATACAAATATTATTAAGTCACTGTTGTTGTTTTATGATCTAATATTTTACTCTAATTCGTAAGGAGATTCACTGAGCGCTTATGTGGACTCACCAATTCTCCTGAATTGAAATTTTTAGACTTACCGAAAAGTATGCGCCTCCGCGCGGTTTTCTTTCCGACTTGTCCGAATAGTAAATGAGTGCACTACGCTGACGATCCAATACAAACCAGCGTCGCGACCACGCATGAAACGTAGCGCCCAATTTGTGCAGATAACTGTAATTAAAAGATGTATACCTATAAGTATATGCATTAAAAATTCGCTTTTAAACCGTTAAATTACACGAAAAAACACACTTTTCCTCATCATTTAAGCTATAATAATAAATTTATGTGAATTATGACTGGAAAATAATTTAAAATCTTGACAGTTTTAATTTACAAGCACATTTATTTTTTTATATTTAATATGCTCACATAATATAAACAATTTTTATCTGTTTTCTTTACACAGAAGCGAAACATTTCAAAATATACGTATTGTAATAAAAAATATTTAATGCACGCAATTTTTCATAATGCAGAAAATAATTTTTGAAATGCTTCCAAAATTACGAATACATTAAACATTTAAAATGAATGCGTCTTTTGAAATTTGTATATTGTATATTTAAGAAGTAAGTAGTTAAATAAATTCAATAACATTGAAAACAAAATAAAAATGAAATAAAAAAAAAACAACCAAAAATTCCTTTCAATCCTTATAGCATTAAGGATGATAGTTATTGAACTATTTGGGAGTCTATATACTTAAACCTATGGCACTAGAGGATTTAAAATATATGTTCTTTATGTGTTTCATATTCTTTAAATAATTCTATTGAGACCACTTTTAGTTGAAAACGAAAAAAGGTGGGTCTTAACTTTGAAAAAAATATGGGATAACAAGCTTACGTCTATGGTCAAACGGGCAAATCATTTGCACAGAAATTCGAGCAATTTTACAAGTCTGTCAAGAAGATATTGTCGTTTCGCTTAAATTGGAAAAAAGAAGCTTTAAATATCGTCAGGGATTGGTTTTCATGGTTGCTTTGCAAAATTTAACAAGTTTGTATACAAATTGTTTGTTCATAGCATTTAAATTAATTTTGTATTCTTCATTGTTAAAATGACTCTCCGAAGTCCATTTTAAGTTGAAAACAAATCGAATTATATTTAAGTTGAAAGGGACTGTTAACTTTGGCAGAAACATGAGAGAAAGGTCACAGAAGTATGGTCAAAAAGACAAATAATTTGGGTAAAAATTTTTTCAAATTCATAAATATGTTGTGAAGCCTGTTCTGCATTACTGAAAAAGCAAAAAGAAGAAAGCTCTTAAACTAGTAGAAGTTCATATACCATCGCCTGAGTGCGCCTGGGTGCAAATTGTTTTCCTGTCTGACCATAACAGTTCAGATATATTTAATTGAGCTAGCCATTCTAGTATCTATAGTACTGTGTTTTGAGGACTTACCCGCGACAACTGTGGGCATCAACGAAGACATGTGGACACAAATCGATTTGATGGCCGGCCGTCTCAATGTGATCGCGCAGATTTAGATCGAGTGAGTAATTGGGCAGGTAACGCGTTAGGGGACGCTGATGTTTGGGCAGAGGGCGTTTACGATCGCTGCCACCACCGCCGCCACCTGCGCTGCTGCTGCCGCTGCCCGCCGATGTGGTGTCCTGTGAGTTGCTACTCGCCCGTTTGCTGTCCGCCGCCGACTGCTGCATCAACAGTTCACCATTTTGGGCGACAAACTTGGGCGCTTCAATGGCCTCACAGTTGTTTGCCTCGGAAAGTGGGCGGGGACTGCGCGCAGGTGGCGCACCGCTGACTGTAACCACATGATGCTCCAGTTCTGGCTGTGAGTGACGCTGCTGTGGATGAGAGAATAAGTGGGCTCATAAGTATTATTATTGTTTTTTTTTTTGAAATGCTGATAGCGCAGCTGTTTGTCCAAATCTATTTAAAGCCAACAACAGTCCAATCAACCGACGATTGCCGCCTTGTCCGTTCTGTGTCAGTGGCAACGTCAACGGCAGTGGCAGAAGAAGAAGAAGAAGCGTCGCATTCCTTGGCTTCGGGCCAAACACTAACCACACAACTATGCGTGAAATTGCAACGCACTCAAGTTCGTCAATTACTTTAGTTAGTTAGTTTTCAAATTATTCGTGTTGGATACCCAATACCCATGATCGTTTTTCCATTGATAGAAAATGTAATTGTGTAGAGTCCTTTTTCGTGAAGCTTGTTAGATCTTTTAACAAATATTACTTCTTCATATCCTTACAATAAATATTCTAGGTTAACCATCTATCCCTTCTATATTCAGAATAATATACTGGATTACAGATTATTTGAAATATTTTTTAAATTGAATCTAAAAAGTAAAAACTCTATGCCTTACGCCAAATTTTCAAATTAACCAGCATTTATTGCTAGATTAACAAAAGATTTCAAAATCAATGTTTACATAATCTAAATAATTCGAATATTGAAATTTAAGAACAATGTTAAAATGAACCAATTATTAAAATAACTTTTTATCCATTTACATCAAACAATTCCTACTAAACCGCCCATAGATGATCTTATAAAATGAGAAGTTCTCTCGATATGATCTCTGGACTTGCCTGCATCGTCTAAAGATCTTTCATAACCAATATTTGTAAGTATCATATAAACAATAATAGCTAGGGAGTGTTAGAACAATTTTAAAGTTAAACAAGACAAAATATATTTGTAGCCCCTACTTGATCAACAATAGATAATCTTTTGAAACGAAACTTATTCGCTGAGACTAAAATCCTTTGGGAACCCCAAAAAATAAAAAAATATTTTTGGTACAATTATAAGTTAATAAATTTCGAAATAATTTCCTGTTTGACAAGAACAGATGAAACAAAAATTAATCTACATACAAATTTTAAACGCAAAGAAGAGTCTTCAAGCTTCAATGTGTTATTTATTAAAATACCATCTGATTTTATCATTCAACAACTAGATATCTTATAAAATAGTATCTGTGTTGATCTAGAAAGTTAATCTGATTTTATATTTATGCATGAAAAAGATTCTTCAAGTTAATAAATGTGTTGTTATTTATTACTTGCCCATCTGATTCTATCATTTAACACCAAGAAATGATCCTATGAAATAGTATCTGTGTTGACTTTTTTTCAAGCTACTGATCTCACTACTGATCATCTTTCGTTGATCTAGAAAGTTAATCTCAATACACTTAAAGAAGAGTCTGTTTACTTGTCCATCTGATTCTATCACTCAACAACAAGAGATGATGTCTTATGAAATTGTATCTGTGTTGGTTTCTCCTTTCAGACTATTTGTATTATAAAACATAATACGAGTTTGTAAATTGACCACTTTATAAACAATCTCCAGTCCCAGATCAAGTCTCTAGGTCAACAACAAGGTGATATTCAATTTTAGAAGACTCAAGACTCATAAGAATAAATATGTATAAATAAATTTGTAGTGCCATTGTTTGCAATTTGTTTATCTTTCAAGTGATTTGCTTTTATTTTGTCACACAGTGCTCCAATTTCTATTTATATCTGCATTGATAAGAATAGAACTTGGAGCTGTATGCTGATTAATGCGACACAAATGCCGCTTCTGCTTCTGATCTTGAAGTGGTTGTTAGAAAAGTGCTCGATCTTGAAATGAACTGAACTCACTAGATAATACAGAACGCTTCGATGACGGGCATTTGCATTCGCATTCGCATCTGTGCGACGACGCTGTACATATGTCATCCAAACGGACATGCTGATCACTAATCGCTAGAATTGGGGCACTTAGTCGACGATTTACACGCGAATAATTGTTTGGTGCTTTAACGTGATGCCGAAAACGAATCGATCGGTCGATCGCTTTGATTGGAATGAGGCGATCTACAAGAACTGTTGTTCAAACGATGCGCACATTGCGAACATTTTCCAGCATCGCATCGACGGCAATACAAATATTATAATGAGATGCGAGCAATTTTTTTTGGCGAAGCGGCCAATGATCGTGGCCAATTAGTAAGCGAACGATAAAGTGGCCCGTACGTGCGCCAAGAGGCGAAACGTGTGCGAATCGTGTAAACAAACTTAAAGAACGTAAACAACAATAACAACAATAATTAGGAGCACAATTATAATATCAGAACACCAAACACGCGTAACGACCGGCATCAACATATGAACTGACGACGGCCCAAAGCCAAAGCAACAATCTTTGGGGCTTTGTTGCGTATAACACACAATTCTCGTACGTATTATTCACATAATAAACTTATTAATAAAGTAGTCCACAGAAACGATCTATATAGTAGATATACTCGTAGGTACATATATGCATACATATATTCATATTTATTATGTGTGCTGAGAGTGCGTTCTGAGCAAGAATGGGACTGGACTACTGGCTATTGGCCTCTATTGTGGGGGCGTCTGTTGCCATTTGAAAATAAACAACAACAACCAATTTTGAAAACAATACAAACAGCACAATAGAATAGAATTGCGAATTCATTTGAGTGTTTGGTTGGGTTGTGCGCCAATTTCCAACAACTCGTGACTAATGAGCAGCAGCCTGAGACCCAGAGCTGTGACGCTAAGGTGAAGATTGCAATATTGTGGGCATCTAAGCGAGAATGTCACACAGTTCTAGGAATTGCTTTTCAGTTCTAAAATTCTGCAGGAGAGTGTTCAAGTGTTCGGTGAGCTTTGCGATATCTTTTCAAAAAATAATAGCTTTAATCTTATAACCCTATTGCTGGCGTGTTTATTTTAAAACACTGATAAGGGCTACGCTCATCAACCACATAACAAACGAGCCGAACATTATGCTGGCGCTGGCCCGACTTGTGTATACCCTTCAACTTATATAATAAATGGAATTAACAGTAATTCAGTATACATTTAATATCGAGGTTGTTCATGATGTCGATTTTGAAACCGATTCTTCCAATGACAGCTATGCACTAGTCCAACAATTTTAATATTGCGGGATCAGCTATATAAAATATTTAGTATTGAGATAAACTTGGTCTGCGCATGAATGAGAGAAGGGCACATAATTAGTTTGGTATCCCTAGATGTTATGCTTCTAAAGTTTTCGTGGTTCATACAGACGAACAGAAGGGCAGACTGACTGTCTATATCGATTGGTCTCGTCAAACTGAAAAATGTAGAAGCAAAGGTCTGCAAATTCAAATAAGCCAATCTATTTTTTTTTTTTTTTGTAATACTACCACTATGCATAAAATATTTTACAATTTTGTAACCAATAAATTGGGAAGACTGTTAAGTTCACTATACCAGCAGGTTAGCCCGCTTTCTCTCCTAAGTAAATCTCTATGTGTGTAATCCGAAAGATATCGAGCTGAAGTGCTACATTTCTGATCTTGCAAATATGAAGAAAAGAAATTAAAGAAATGACTCAAACGGAAACATATGTAGAATGTTCAGATCTTCCAGATCTATAAACAGACCCCTGAACCCACAAAGATATCGCGTAATGATCGGCTTTAACATCATAACGTATCTTGTAAAATCTGGGAAAGAAAACTTCTATATCAATTGAGGAAAAGAACAACTAAAGAGCACACGACAAACCTGAGATTTGTTCACATAAGTAAACACTAGTTAAGTGTAGCCATGAAATGCAAGAAAAGCGGAACACAACACCTAGTTTTTTAGACCAGAAGTCTTCGATAAAAACGCAGCTGTTTTGTCGCAAGAAACATTGATTGGTTTCTGACGCATGGATTTTACTTTTCAATGAAAGTAGTTAGCCCATTTGTTGTGTGTTCAGGCTTTAAATAAATCATATAGACTTCAAAGTCGACCGTAAGGTTGGAATCTTTTTCTAAATGACTCCTTTTTTTCTATATTCTTAATTTTTTTTTGTTTTTTGTTAGAACTTATAACATATTCGACCACTTTTGAGCTATAAATCGGATCATAGCTAGCACATCTAATTACCTCAACGTGTCAGGTTCGCTTTCGTTTCCGAATTCAATTAACTTATGTGGAACCGAAATGGCTAAACATTTTAAAACTTTAACCATATTTGAGGTTTTCGGCTAACAACAAAATTGAAACATAATCTTGGGGCAAAACTTTTAAAACTGTTTGAAATACTCAATACATTTTTTGAAATCCAGTGCATTTACCAAAATCTTCTCCACATAATTGAACGAAATAGGAAACGGAAACCGACTTTAATATTGTAAACTTATATTATGATTTTTGTTTACTTAATAGGTTTTCTTATTTCTTTGTGTTCGCTTATATCGACAGCCTTGTTTTAAATGCAAACAGAAAAAAATAAAAAAAAAATTGTGCATAATAGTTTGGCATAGAACATAATTTTTCATATACGAGTATACTTTTTCTTTGATGAGTTTTGTCTTATTTCAACTACTTTTTATTGTTGAGCTCAACAAATTGTTAGCCGTAGAAAACTCGTAATTCCCAAGTCCATTTCAGTTGCCTTAATTATATGGCAGGGCTCTCACTAAACTCTCCACTGTAAGAGTAAAAGCTTAAATCTATATTATTTGTATAATTACAGGTTAACGCTGTACAGATTTTGGGTCATAAAATACACAGTGAGTGTGTAGAATTATATGGAAATCATCGGTGTAAGCTCTGCCAACACATATTTAAAGCGCAAACAGAAATATAATTAGTTTCTAAGATTCATAGCCTATTGTTGATTGCTGGCTAGTGAAACTGGATGGTGAATAAATTAATTGCACTTTAATGGGGATCTGTAAATATGCGAACGATGAGTAAAAATAATATAAATATATATGTGCGTACTATTTTCACCAATTTTGAATAATGTTTGTTTATTCAAAAAGCTGCCTTTGGCCGGCAACGGAAATGACGTTTAACATTTTGAAAAAACCCACACCTACAACGCACTGCTCTGTTTTGGTCGAATTTCCCGGAAGCAATAAAACAATGGCCCAACTCTCTTAGTGTATATTTTGCCATTTGCATAAACAGTTATTAAGGCTATTGGTTGTGGCCCAGGTCAGGGGGTAATAGTTGGGGAATAGTTCGTCTATAAGGTGTGCGTTTTGTTGTGATTTCAAAATTGATTTGCTCACCTGCGCGTTGCTGTCGCGTTTGCTGCTGCTGTTGTTGTTGCTGTTGCTGTTGGGAGATGAGGAATCGCTGCCGCCATCATTTTCCTTATCATGTGTCTTTTGCTGTTGCTGTTGTGGCTCCTCCACGTTTAGCTTTTGCAGCTCCACTTTCTCAAAAAGTTTAGCATCTTGGCCGCCGCTATAAAAATAAAAATAAAAAAACAAACAAGGCAACGCATTGATTTATTGATAAAGACACGTACTCGTACATAGTGGTGTGGCTTTGTAAGGGCTTTAAGAGCTCACCAACAGGGTATTAGCGCATTTATTCTATCCATAGCGGCAAATGAGTAATGCGGACGATAGCCGCCAATACTATATATTGATGACGCCCGACGACGAGGACGGGAGGCGACACTTTCGAATCAATTCGTAATTCGTTTCGTTTCGATTGACACTCGCACGATCGCGCGCTCTTTGGCCGACTGGGCGGTTGACTGGTCTGACTAAACGGCTAAATGCACGGCACGGCGCAACAGTTGGCAAATAAAAATGCGCGCTCGCACACTCACACTCACATAGGCAAACACACACTCTGAGAGAGACTCGCACACACACACACACACACACACTCACTCACACACTAGTTGTGTCGCCTGATAAGCACAGCGTTTCAATTTTCTTATCAAAAACAGAACAGAACAAACAAAAGCTGCGCCACCGACTGCCCGAAAATGTAATTGCAGTCAACACCTTTAGAGTGTAGTGTGTGTGTGTGTGTGTGTGTGTATGTATTGGTGTGTTTGTGTGTGTGTGTGTGGGTTAAAGAGGGTGGCTATAACGACCGAGTCCGAGTTCGAGTCGGAGCGATCAACCGACCACTAACTAAGCTTCCAACAGCAACTCCGAAATTAAAGAGAAGAGCAGAACGGCTTCGTCATTCGCATCGTCAGGGCCGACATCGACATCGTCATCGACGTTAAAGTCGCTGTCGCCGTCGCCAGATCCGTGACAATATAATGAGCATGGAATGGAAACTACTCCAAGACTTCGGGCACGATACAATCTACACATATGAATGTACATATAGTTTTGTTTACATAATATCTGTCGGATTGTGGTGCGTCGTTTGTTTATACCGATTCAAAAAACCGGTTTCAATTTTCAATTTGTTTAAGAGATTTCACATTATTATTATTACTCTTTTCTTCTTCTTCTTCGTCTTCGTCTCCCCCTGTTTTCTTGCTATTAGCAAAATATTTGATTAATTAGTTTCGAGTTAAATGGGCGCCGCCGCCCAAGAGGCGCAGGCATTTTAAGTCTATTTTACACTGAACTACACAGTAAAGGGTGTGGGCTTTGATATACTTATGCACCATTATATATAAGATATTTCGATAAATAGTCATATAATTGATAAGAGAGATAAAAATAACTGTTGCTGGACGTTTTAATTTTATGAAATAAAACACTCTTCTCATGCATTGATGGTAAGAAACTCTATCAAGAAGCTGGGACAATTTTTACCTTTCTAAAATCAAGATCAAGAGAAACAGCATGACGAGAGAAATCGATCTAGATCGTCCGTCTGGATGAATGCCTTGATATAATATATATATATATATATAAACATGGTATGTAGAAGATCCTAGTCCCTAGGCTAAGCGAGTGTTATTTTTATACCCTGTACCCGTAGGGTAAAAAGGGTATATTAGGTTTGTGCAAAGTATGTAACATACAGAAGGAAGCATCTCCGACCCCATAAAGTATATATATTCTTGATCAGCATGACGAGAGAAATCGATCTAGACATGTCCGTCCGTCTGTCCGCCCGTCTGGATGAACGCGAGGATCTCAGAAACTATAAAAGCTAGAATAACCAAAGTTGGCATCCAGATTCTCCTAGGTCCGAGTAAGGACGAGTTTATTTTATTTTTTGGAATTTTCCCCCCCTTCCCCCGCTACAGAATTTCGTCAATAGCGTCCACATTTCAAATGCTACCTAAACCAAACTTTGCACACATAATTTATGTATAATTGTCTACTGTTGTATAAATTCAATTCAAGTCCGACAGTGTAATACCCTGTACCCAGGTAAACTTCCGTCACTGAGTTATATGCGCCCATAGCAGCAGCAAAAAGAGGAAGAAGAAGAGCGAACTTGTTGCTGCAGTTTGGGGGGGTTGTACTGGCGAGAATTTGTTTCGCTAATAACTTTTCTAGAATTGACCGAATATAATAAAATTTTAAACAACAGTAGATAATTATATAAAAATTATGTGTGCAAAGTTTGGTTTAGGTAGCAATTGAAATGTGGACGCTATTGACGAAATGCTGTAGCGGGGAAAGCGGGGGAAATTCCAAAAAATAAAATAAACTCGTCCTTTCTCGGACCTAGGAGAATTTGGATACCAACTTTGGTTATTCCAGCTTTTAGATGTTTCTGAGATCCTCGCGTTCATCCAGACGGACAGACGGACGGACATGTCTAGATCGATTTCTCTCGTCATGCTCATCAAGAATATATATACTTTATGGGGTCGGAGATGCTTCCTTCTGTATGTAACATACTTTGCACAAACCTAATATACCCTTTTTACCTTACGGGTACAGGGAATAAAAAAAGGTTGTTCTATTTAGATATAACGGTGATTGGTTGCGCATATTTACAACTATATTCTTACACTATCCTACTGGTACTTAGATCCGTTTCTGCTACCTTAACTTTGCAACCGAGTGTAAATATGAGTGCAACGAAGCGCAGCTCAAGTTTTCGTCAGCTGCACAATTAATTAAAAAAAAAAAAAGATGTGGAGAGCGCGGAAAGAGAGAATGGTAAGTGGGGGGAGTGCGGGAGGGAGGGGTAATTAGGGGGGCAATCAATCCAACGGGTTCAAGTGCCTTAGCGAATGCGTAGTGCGGTTCATTGGATTGGCTTTGGCTCATTAGCGCGCGCGACGTTCATTTAATAAAGAAGGGGGGCATGGGGCGAGAAATCGGTTGGGGGGCTTGGGTTGTCTGTTCACTCACTTGGCGGTCATTGGGGCGTGTTGCATGGATTGATGTTGCAGCTGCTGCTGCTGCTGTTGCTGCAGCTTCTGTTGTTGCGTCGGGGGTGTTGGCGGAGACGATGATGCTGAAGACGATGATGACTGACCGCTCAGTGTGTAGAGCAAATACTGAGTGCGCGCCTCATCATGACTCTTCTTCTTCAGATCGCATATCTTCTGGCGTTCATGCTCGATGACCTGATGACCTGCAATATACATTTAAATATCATGAAGTCATCTTTGTATATCTGTGTGTAACAACAAATTTTTACGATATAAAGCAATATACAAGAGGCACAAGATTTATAGATCCATTAAAAGATAGGAATACCCCTAAACAAATATTAAAATTACGGTGGATCTGAAGTCCAACTATGATCATTATTTTCAATTTTCTAATAATATCTGAACTAACAAAAAACATTATTATAGTCTAGACTCTAGAGAATGTAAGATTAGCTCGGTATTTGCCGAGAATACGAATGCGGACAGAGTGAAGCATAAACTGAATACAGGTTTTATCTAGCATTACAATTTTCTGGAGAGTGGTTCACCTTACTACACCTTGGGCGGAGGACTTTAAACTTTATAAATATCGAGAATTGATATTTGATAGGCTCTATTGCGCTTCTTTTTTGGTAGAGTTTACAATATAGCCTATCATCTAAGTGACATATCAAGAACAAAATATTTAACGATCTTTGACATCTTTAGGCTGCACAGCTCAGGCTCTTCCCATTATAATCGAGTAGTCTTCCAGAATACGCATGTGGACAGAGTGAAGCATTAACTAAATAAAGATTATACAGTATATCATAAAAGTTCTATGGTGCTATCTGGCGAAGGTTGTTCACCTCGTCATGCAACTAATATTATATTAAAAGTAACAAATTGAGTGGAGGGCTTAAAACTAGTATATTATGGCCCATTATTTTAGAACAGAAGAATCACTTGTTATCTTCAGGTGTAGAGAAAGAGGGAACCCTCAGCTATTTAGGGATTATACCTAGCATAACTCTCAATTAATATGTAACTAAGTATACAGTATCTTCAGAAATTATGGTGTGAGTACCTTGCTGTGCCAGCAACAATTTACGATTACGTTCGATTTCCTTGATGCTGTCAAAGATCTTTGTGCAGGCGCCCTGGGTTGTTGATATGGGCGCATCGTTTGCAACCTTGCAGCTGCGATCGATGTCGTCCTGCGAGGGCACACGACGCTCCAACGGATTCACTTCAAAGCAATCGCTTCGTAGCGATAGGTTAAAGCTAATCTGTTCGCAGCTGCCGCCGCCGTCCGTTCCCAAGTTGGTCTCGAACACCTGTAGGGGCGGTCGCTTTGGTGTGCTCGTTGCCGTAACCGTTGCCGTCGCTGTGGTGGGCAGCTCGATTTTGTGATTATAGAACATATTCTCATTGACGCTCTTCGACATGAGGTCGTCGTTGGTGCGCAGCTTTGGACAGAGCAATTCAGCGGAGCCGAACAGCGACTGAGACATAACGCCATTACCCAAATTGGTGGCGAGCGGTGAATTATGGGGACTGGCCGGTGGTGTGTCCACATCGACGACACCCAGTTGTAGATGTAATGTTGCCAGCTGTTGTGTAAGTTCGCTGATCTCTGTCTCGAGTGTAAGACGTTTCTCCTGGCGTTTTAGTTCCTCATGACAGGCATGATATTCGGACTCCTCCTCAAAGTATTGAAATTCCAGATCCTCGAAGGTCTTCCGATCGCTCTCTAGCAAATCGGAAACATGTTCCAGCTCCTCCTTAAGACAAGCGCTATTGGGATTCTGCTTCAGCATAGCGCGAAGTCTGTAAATGAAGAATAAGTGGTGAAATATCTCGAAGTATTTATCTTAAATATATAGAGTGCATTTTTCCATCGATAAACAAGGTATATTTTATGGTTTTGATAAACTTCGTCTGTGTATGGCTAAGATAAGTTTAAATGCCGAATGTGGTGCTCCTTGCTTGTTTAGTTTAAAAGATATCGATGTTCATATAGACGGACACTTCTACATCAAACCCCTCTCAAAGGAGGCCCATTTAGTCTTGTTCGGCTTGAGAGAGGTGCAGCCAGCCTTTATAGGTATTTTCATTTCATATAACTTACTTTTTCATCTGATCTTGTCGCATTTCGATGAACTGCTTCAACTTGGCCTGTTGATTCTCCTCCATGACGCGCGTGGAATTGCGTTGCGCCTCCAGGCGATGTGTGCGACTCCGTAGCGCGTAGAGCTGATCTAGCAGTGTGGGTGTTGGTAGTCGCGTTGTTGATTCGGTGTCGGTGGTGGCTTCGCCATTCTGGGATTCACCATTGACGTCCTTAAGTTTAAATGAGAGTCGAATGTAATTAAAATATATTGCTAGGTGATATAATTTTTGATGGACCTACTTGGGTTGGAGCTGGCATTTCGGCTAGTTCCTGTTTTAGTTGCTTCAATCGCCCTGAGACCTCCCGTCGCTGACGCTGCAATGTGGCCTGATCTGGAGCTGGTACTGGAATTGGTGCCGCTGCTGCTCCATTTATGGTGCGGGGTGCTGGTGCGGGTTTCTTGCTTAACTTGGGCGATGCGGTATTGGTGTCGTTGCAACGGTTCAGGTTCAACGTTAGATTGTTAATATTCTTATTGGCACGCTTGCTTCGATGGCTCTCCTCCAGCTGTTGTTTGCGCTCGAAGGATTTGAAGAGCTGCTCGTAGTCGCGTTGTTGATTCGGTGCCGGTGGTTTTGGTGCCAATGGTGGCTTCGGCTTGCCGGTGAGGGATGGTGCCGCTGACGTGGGTTGTGTAGTTGTTGGCGAGGCAAGCGAGAAGGCGCCACCAAAGGAGGCATCCTTCTTGGGTGACATGCAGTTGGTGCGTATTTTGGTGCGCGGACTCTGTGGCACATATTTGCCAACCACAACATTCTCATAGCTGCTCTTGGGCGTGGCATTTGTGGAGACGCTACCACTGCCACCGGCACCCCCAACGGTACCAGCACTACCACCACCACCCACATGTAATTGCCCGTTGATTTCAATTCGATTGGCTCCCAACAGACGCACATTTTCATAGCCTGTGGAGCTACCGGAAGTGCTCGGATTCGCCAGATTGCTGCCACTGTTGTTGCTGCCGGTTTGGAAGGGTGATTTTTTGTCTCGCGGCAGCGAACCATTTGTTTTTATGCGATTCTGAACAATGGGCGAGGAGGTAATGCTGCCACTTCCTGAACTCACGTTATGGCTGCTGTGCTGTTGTTGTTGTTGCTGCTGCTGCTGTCTGTCCGCATATTCCGTGCAGATCTTGAGCATATCCTCCAGTTCCGCATGACTCAGCGAGCGTTCAACGCCATTATTTATGTCCGTATTGACGCCATTCATGGGATAGATCTGCAAACCACCATAAGTGTACGTTCCCGGCTTCGGATAGCGATCGTACCGATCGTTATTTACTTTGGTAAGCAGTTCAGCGGTCTCGAAGCCTGCCTTGCCCCTCGGAGGCGTATCCGAGCTGTTGTTCTGCTGTTTGAATAAAGCCGCATTGCTGGGTATATTACAATAGCCGGCATTGTGGCCCACTCCAGCGCCAGTTCCTGTCGCGGGCCCCACTCCTCCGCCCCCGCCACCATTAGCTGGTAAATTCTTGATATATTGATTGTTTAGCTGCTTCTCACTGCGATGGTTTTCGGCTAGATTTTTAGCGAAACTGGCATACTTCTGGCCAAGCACATCCTTGGCAGGCATGTTGACGGTGACGAGATCGGAGCTAAAGACTTTGGGACACTGCATGCCATTCAGATCGATGCCGTTGGCAGGTGTCGTTGTGGATTTGCTGTTGGGCATGGAATTAAGTGATTTGGAAAGTGTGCCTGTCGCTGTTGATCCCCCTCCCCCTCCTCCTCCTCCTCCTCCTGCAGCTGTTGCTGTTGTTGTAATTGTGCTGGACTGTGCGGCGGGTTGTATAAAGTGTTCATAGAAGCTCTCCAACTCCAGGGACTGGCTGAACTCATGATTCTGTCTAGCGGATTGGGTGAAGTCGATTTGGGGCATAGAGATGCGCTCATTGGAGCCCATGGCGGAGCGCATCATTTGCGCCTCGTCTGGATTATTGAAGCGCAAATAGTTGGAGTTGCCAATGGTAATCATGGCGCCTTGGGTTAATGGTGTATCCACTTCGATGCGCGTCCCGTCGATCAGCAGACGTGCATCTCGTTCCGGCACTAGAGTCACTTCGTTGATCTCGCTACGATATATGGTGCAGTGGAGGGGACGGACACCACTGCCGTTCAATGAGATGCTGCAAGAGGGCGCCGAACCGATTGTCGTATCTCCTGCGAACCGAAAGAATTGAAACAATACATTATTAATCATCAGCAACAACTCATATTTGTTAATGAGGAGATATATACTACGAGTATACATACATACATATATGTATATTATTTACAATCTGAAGCTTTTGGGGCAAACAAAATCAACACGCGGTTAATTTCTGTCGTTGGTTGTTTGGCTCGTTCGTTCGTTCGTTCGTCTGCGAGTTTGTCGCACGATTGAGGCGAACACAACTCTGGACGTTGCCGCTGCTCAGCTATTGCGGTTATCTCGTCAGCTCCACGCATACCATCAGCGACAACAACAAATAACCACAACAGCAACAGCGGCGTCACCGTCAAGGCATTTTGGTGAGCTTGCGCATTGTGGTTAGAAACTGATTAGACACTGTGGGACGATCTTTATATGCATGGAAAGTCTGTTTAAAACCTACCACCTTCCCATCAAAAAAAAAAACTGCCTCTCAATGTATCTTCTTCTTTTTTTTTTAGGAAAATAGAAAAGATCATGTGTGCAAGACTAAAACAAAGCACGCAATGAACTTTAGAAATAAGCTAAGGGAATAGAAAGCGGAAAGAAAGCATAGCATACAAATGGATTTGTATTCAATCGTCATATCACTTGCTTTATGGATTGAAGCTCCAAGCCTTACACAAACAAAGCAAATAGCTGTCTACAAGGATCTTATATAAAGTATTGGAAAATGTTGTACAGCCTACAGTAAAAGTACACAAATAGTATAAATTACTAATAATCCGAGCGCGACGATACAACTTTGTTTAAAACCTGTAATTCAAGGTCCGAGAAACAGCAGGGGAGTTTTATTTTAGTTACAACACAGTTTGATTTTAAAAATATTATTTTCTTTTACTTGAGTTTAAAAAATTAAACATTCCAAAATATTAAACAAAATTGTTTCTTATTTTAGTTTTAGATTTTAAATTCAAAAACTAAAGAGTCGGTTTCTATTCTATGACCTAGAAAGCCATTGGAACAGCTGAAATGTTAGGTCAGACAAGATATAGAGATATCCCTAAAATACTGAACATTACTATCAGAATTGTTGTTTAAAAGACTGTATTAGAATGAATAATAATAGTTCTTTAAGGTCTAGAAATCCCTTTGCAATACGTCCATATACGTAAAATTAATACTAAATGCATTTTCTTACTCATCCATAGGAAATAAATTATAAGCACAATATGATTTCTGAGAAAATTGATAAGGAAACGAGAAGCTGATAGTAGAAAGCTCTTGACATGCTTACCACAAAATTCTGTGAAATATAGGTTTTTTTAAGATCTTGTGGCGTTCTCTTGTTATTTTTAAAATGCTGCTTGTATTTTGAAATTAAAAATAGAAAATATTGAAAATTATTTTCGCCCAACGTGGGGCTCGAACCCACGACCCTGAGATTAAGAGTCTCATGCTCTACCGACTGAGCTAGCCGGGCAGTTGTAAACCGGATGTTAAAAAAAAACTGAAAGTTTATTTTTGCAACATTGATAAGAACTATTTTTGAATACAACACAAATTTTCGAAAATAATATTTTGACGCACACTGTGCGTTTTGGGGATTAATTGCCCAATGGGTCATATATATTTATGTGTATTTGTCCAAACATATCTTATCGCTAAGGTGGAACTCTTTGAAATGTCTAGTTCCTTGTTCTTTTGCTTTGGCATTTGTTCGCCCCTTTAAATTTTCTGCATTATCACTTACAAATGACCTTGGGAGTTGGTTGGTTATTGACTTACCAATATGTATGTAGTGTATGGTAACAGCTGTGCTCAAGCGTCCACCCCCCAGACTAACCAAATGCGGATCTGTGGCGGCAACACGCAGCGATGGATCCTTTTTTGTTAATGACATCTGTAAGCGAAAGAGGAAAACAGATAAATTTTTAATTAAAAGCCGAGCTGTGTGCATCTGGGAAGCCGTCCAATAGCCAACTGCCAGGCACCGACAATAGAACCTAACAACACACATACATTACACACACACACACACACACACACAAACAGCCGCAGATAGTCGCCAAAAGACAGAGCAACTGCAGCTGCTTTGGGATAAATGCATAAATGCGTCTGACTTGTGACGCCTGCTAATGCCCGTAATGGCAAATGTTGAACGGACCATCACAGCACAGGGCGCCTCTTTCATTTACTCATTCACTCACTTACTCAGCCAGTCAGTCAGTCAGTCCCTCACTAACTAATGGAGAGCGTGGCGCGTGCATCGTCATTACGGCTGTTGTCAGTTGCACGTGCGCCTGTCATTGTGCTCATAAAATTGGAACAGCTGTCCTGCGGCGGCGCGAAGGCTGCTTCTCCGAAATGCAATCATTACGGTGCATTCTCTTTTAGAGAGTGTGTGAGAGAGACAGAGAGAGAGAGAGAGAGAGCGAGTTACCATGCCAACGGCAAACGTGGTAACCAATGAGGGCATGATACAATTATACAAGGCAATCCCATTATGAGCTGCAACCATTAGACTCTCTCTCTCTCTCTCTCTCTGTCCAGGTGCAGTACAATGATGTTACGATGTGTATTTGGATAAGTTCAAAAATATCGCCAATTAGAGTGATAGAAAGTAACTGGATTTAACACAAGAAGCATTCAAAGCTAGCGCCAATTTGGACATGAGAGCACACAAATGTCATGCCAGTTACAGTGAGAGCGACAGAGCACATGGTATATGGACATCCAAGGGCGTAGGCAGGGGGGAGCGGGGGGCGGACGTTGCCCCCCCCCTAGAAAAATTGTTGCCATATAAAATCGACCACACGTTCATTATTATGACGCATTATTTCGCCTTAAAATGGATCTGAGTTGGAATTGTTGAAGTTTTTTCATTGATCATATGCATTAGTTATTTTTTAAATGCATCGTGCATTATTTAATTAAAATTTTAATTTTCAGCTCAATTTGAATCAAAGGATTGAGTTCAGTTTAAATTATAGGATTTTCAATTGAATTGTGACAAATAGTTTTACAATAATGGGACAGGTTACTTATGTCTCGAGTTTAAGGACTTTCCTTACAACAGCTTAGTTTGAATTAAAGTGTTAAAGGTTTCGATTAAACTCGGATTAATAGTTTCACAATAATCGCAATAAAAAACAAAAACTTGCTGTTTCTTTTCCATTCAAAAGTCGCAACACATTATTGTTGGAACATTTTTTGAAGATACTGTTCCATGAGATCACCATTTAGTACAGCCACATATATTTGCTTACATTTTTTACGTGATATTAATTTATTTCATCGACAGACAGGTTCTTTGATATTATTTAATTCAGCAAATATCGCACAAAACTCAAAGAAGTATGACCTCAGTTTATTATCCTTTCTTGTAAGGCTAATCTCTTGTAGGTTTCTTTTTAAAGCTAGCATTATCCATACAAAATTGGTTCAGTTTTAAATAACGTTTGTACATATCCGTATACAAGTGTTAAGAACAGCTGTAAGCAAATTCAAAATAACTTTTTGATTTTTAAATAAATCCCATAAAAATTAAAAACAAATTCAAATTTTTTTCAAAATTAAAATAATCGTAAAGACAAAACACATCTATTTCGAACATGGTATTTAATTGGTATTTTTTTAAAATGAATTCAACAAATAGGTGTGCATATTTATGATTATTCTTTGTCGGTATGTTAAGCATTAGGCTTCCATAAATATTTGATTTTAAAACTTGTTCAAATCAATCAAAAATGAGGGAAGAAAAAATGCTCGAAGCTCGAGAAAACATTTTGAGTAACGCCCGCTTTATCTCAGATATGAGCCTATGTATACGAGTATGTATGTATGTATGCGCTAAGTATGCATATATGTACATATATGCATGAGTTGGATAGTTAGCGGGCCAGAGAGAAAAGCTAATCAATCAACGACAGCAAATAAATGAGGAATGTGGCTTTTGATAACGCATACTGGCGCACGTGCAGGAACACATATACACGTATGTATGAATATAGGTAGATATGTACATATGTACTACTTATGTACGTATGTATGTATATACATATTTATGTTTGTAGATATGCAGAGACAGAGCCACTAGCAAGATAGACGAGACAGCACACGGGGCGCATTAAAAGTTTTCACTTTTATTTTTGGGCGCGGAAATTGTTGCGGTGGGCCGTTTACGAAACGCTCGAGGCCCGAATTGGGTCATAAACACCAAAAGTGGCAGCGGCAAACAGGAAGCGATGGTCGCCGATGAGCAAGCGAGCGATTAAGAGGCATCATCATTTACATCATCATCACCATTAAACATCGTCATCGCCATCGCCATCGCGATTGTCATCAACGTGTGTCGCCATGTGTGGCAAGGCAGTACGATTAAATAATAAAAGCACGTTGCAACGCATAGAATCATTGATAAAAGTTTTCCATTATTTCATACACTCGAAAAAATAAATTGTTTAAAACATAAAACGTCTCTCAATTAAGAAGAAGTGTTCTATTATTCGAAACAATTTCTTAAATCAAGAAATTACAGCTTCACTTATAATTCAATCGCGATCAATGGGTGGTAGTGGACTACAATTAGTATTAACGAGGTATGTTGGCGTGAAATAAAGAAGCTACACATGGTTAATAAATAACTTGATCTGCGTATTGATAGGACAAGTCTACATTCCAAGTTTGGAGCACATAGCGATTATGGTTCAAAACTTCTTGGTGTTCATACAGTCGAACAGATGGACGAATGGAGTTCCACAGTTTCAATAATATAAACTCTGATTTTAAGCAATACTTCGCTATTAAAAAGAAACTTTCAAAAGAGTAGGGGTATTTAAGAGGGAGATTTTCTATACTTTTGGGGTGATTTCTAACTTCTTCTCTCAGTGTATTATGCGCCATCATCATTATTAGTATTATGGTCATCATTATCATGATTTTTCACAACGTGGTCGACGACTTTGTCCATCTTCAAGTAGGTTTAGTGGGGGGGAGGGCTCTACTTTTTATCAGCGTCACCACATGATTGTTGTTGTTGCTATTGTTGTGTTTATGTTTCAAATACAGTTACATATGTGAGGGGACTTACAAAACACAAAACGTCTTTGATGACCCCCATTATGACATACTTTTCCAGCCTGTTGCTTTGTAAAATTCATTTGTCGGGGCTTGTGGATTAGCTTTGTTGGTAGTATTATTGTTGTTGTTGTTTTTAATTTGTAATGCCTGCATGACAAGACGCACGCACACACATATAGGTACATAAAAATACATGTATATAGTACATATAGTATAAAAAAGAGTTGGGAGTGGGCTTTCAATGACATATGGGTTGGGTAAGTTACAAAGTACATGTGGATTGCATGTGTTTTATTGGCATTGAAGTAGACAAAAATATATATATATATATATACAAGTGATACAACGTTAATATCAATATACATACAAGTATATACACTTTATATTTTATTTTTATTCTTTTAATGGAGTTGTTAATTATGAAGTCGACCCCGAAAAGGTTCAGCTTTGTTCTTTCGCAGGCAAAGATGACATCATAAAAGACACTTTTAATTCGTGAACCATTCTGTCTACGAACGTTGTAATGGAATTGATCTCACCACGTATAGCTATCGAAAGCTAGTCTAATATGGAAAAGTCGCCTAGAAAGAGTGGCTTTGTGGAAGGAAAAGTCATTTATATGCTACAAAAGTATAATAATCCAGTGACAAAATCAAGTCGATTCTGGAAAAATTATCTAATTTCACATCTAGGCTATGGGGATGACGAGCTTGCTTCACACCAGCAAACATACATACAAAGGAAGAAAGATAAAACTCTTAGGAGAATACATTGAGAAATAGCATTTAGTTCTGAAGAGCCGACATGCGTTTGCTTTATTCAAGTCCCAATAAAATATCATAAATTCTGAGAAGCAACAGTGTAGTTACACTCCCCCACTAAGTGCACTGAGAGCAGAGCACTGATTAATGATTATCAGCACATCACTTGACTACTATGAATTATCCAAGCTGTCGAGAAGGCAACGCCTTTTTGAAATCCTTTAGAAACCATATTGAATTGTTGTCTAAAGTGATTATGGCCCTCTTCGAAATAAAGCCTAACTTGGTATTTTGAAAATACTATAGCATCCAAGTCAATACTTTTTTGAATGACTTAACAAATTATTTTCAATTTGTATCTACACAGAATCAATGGACTTTCTACATGTTTGAGTGTTACCTTTAATGAGACAGAAAGAGAGCGTGATGGATAAAAACAATAAATACAATATTGTATGTATTTAAGTCCTTTTTTGGTTGACTTTTCTTTTTCTGTTTTTCAATTCCATAGATACCATCAATTCCAATCTAAGTTGTTAAAAAGTTTTCGTAAATAGTTAACTCTTGTATAAATCCGATGAAATTACCAAGGAATGCCGATTATATCTTGTAACAAATTTGAAATTGGTACTTCCCTCAAAATGTACATACATATAGTATAAATATATATACTCGTATGAGGATCGATTGGCGGCATCGTGATGCTGCAAACTCTCCTCAGCCATCGTTAAGTCATTTTCTGTATACTCGTTAATACATACATACATATGTACATAAATATATATTGCACCTCTTGTACACAAATTACAAAATGCATTTTTATCGCTTATATGCGTTGTCTGCAATATACCTCTTGTTTTTGTTTTCATTTCGATCTTTTTTCCCCATTTTTCTTTTTAAGCGACCATGCACGTCATCATCGTCCCATGAGCGTCATCCACACACAGCCTCAGCAGAGTAGAGCAGAGCAGAGCACAGCAGCGGCAACAGCAATAAAGCAGCAACATCAAAAGTCAAGAAATGTAATAAATAACTAAAGAAAAGCAAAAACTCAACAATG